AAAAAAAAAATGACACGAGTACAAAAGGGGAATAGTGAGGATCAACCAGCGGTGTGAGTGAGGGGAGGGTGATGAAAGGAATATGATCGAAGTACCTTATATTTGTGTGAAACTCACAAAAATTATAAAAAGAGGCGTAATTGAGATAAATTGAGGTGAATTGGATTAAAGCAAGTTTTTTGTTTTGTTTTGTTTTTTTTGGGTCGGTCGTGGGGCTTGAACTCTGGGCTTGGGCGCTATCCCTTCGCTCTTTAGCTCAAGGTGAGGGCTCTACTGCTTAAGCCACAGCACCACTTCCGGTTTTCTAGTGGTTTATTGGAGATGAGTCTCACGGACTTTCCTTGCCCAGGCTGGCTTTGAACCGTGATCCTCAGATCAAAGCCTCCTGAGTAGCTAAGATGACAGGTGTGAGCCACTGGTGCCCGACTTAAAGCAAGTTTTACTTATATGTAGACATATTATAGCGGGGCAATGGTAATCCTAGCTACTTAGGAGGCTGAGATCTGAGGATCGCGGTTCAAAGCCAGCCGGGGCAGGAAAGTCCATGAGACTCTTACCTCCAATGAACCACAAGAAAACCGGATGTGGTGCTGTGGCTCAAGTGGTAGAGCGCTAGACATGAGGGACAGTGCCCAGGCCTAGAGTTCAAGCCCCACAACCTACCAAAAAAAAAAAATCAATTTTTAAATTTAAATAAAACAATGTGATATAGGTTCCAAAGTTGGGAGTCACTAGACTTTATGTAAAAGGTCAATTCTGAATAAAATAAAACAGAATTATGAGCAATCAAGTGATTAAAACAAGTCACACATAGTGTACAATAGATTAGACTAGACTTGGAAATGTTGCTGTAGCAGTATTCAGTGAATGCAAGAAGAGTATAAAACCATGTCTTCAAATTTTTGAACAATTGAAAAATATGGCATGTTTGTTTGAGAGAGGGTCTCACTGGTACTTTGAACTTGTGATCTCCCTGCCTTAGTTTTCATTTATTTATTTATTTAATTTTTTTGGTCGTGGGGCCTGGGCGCTGTCCCTCAGCTCTTCAGCTCAAGACTAGCACTCTACCACTTGAGCCACAGCGCCACTTCTGGCTTTTTTCTTTTTGCTTATGTGGTGCTGAGGAATCGAACCCAGGGCCTCATGCATGCAAGGCAAGCACTCTACCACTGAGCCACCTTCCCAGCCCCTGCCTTAGTTTTCTAAGTGCTGAAATGTACAGATGTGTACTATCATACCTGGTAGAATATATGTCTTTAAGCATTATCGTGACCTAGAAATACTAGAGAAATGTAATTTCGATGATCCCTTTAAAACAAATAAGAACTACCTCAGGATACACTAGACAACCAGGAAGAAGAATCAAAATAAAAACTGAAGAGTAGAGGAATAGAAAAACGGTGTGTATCATCTCCCCTTAAGTAGAGTTGTAACTAACATTAGCCACTCTTCAATTTAAGTTTTACTTCCTACTCCTGTCCCTACCCCGTTCCTTTTCTTCCCCTTCCCACCCTTCTCTTCTTCTCTCCTCTCTTCCTCTTTCTACTTCACTCCTTTTCTCCCTTGTTTTCCTTCCTTCCTTCTCAACTTTTATCTTGGTTAGGTAATTTTTGATTATCCATTTTGGTGTAATTTCCTGCCTGTTAAGAAGGCAACACATAGCTGGGCCCTGGTGGCTTACGCTTATAATCCTAGCTACTCAGGAGGCTGGATCTGAGGATCATGGTTCAAAGCCAGCCTGTGCAGGAAAGTCTGTGAGACTCTTATCTCCAATAAACAACTCCGAAACCGGAAGTGGCATGTAGCTCAAGTGGTAGAGCACTTGCCTTGAGCTGAAGAGCTGAGGGACAGTGCCCAGGCCCAGAGTTCAAGCCCCATGACCGACAAAAAAAAAAAAAAGGCAACAGAATCATATATACTTGCTGTCTGTATGTGAACTGAAGAACATGTGCACTCACATACCACTAACCATGTGTGGGCTTTGAAAGAAGTAATATGATTGATCACTGATCATGATTTATTCTTTATGCAGTAATTTGTGGACTGAAGGACTAGCATTCATGTTTATATTTTCCTCAGTTAAAACACTGCTTGAACTGACACTTGAATCATGTTTTTGGGTGCCTGTTTACCTATGCTGGAATAACTGAATCTTACACAAGTGAGACCACACAAAGGGAATACTGCCCATAAAAACATGACTGACAAAAATCCTAAATTGAGTGGAGGAAAGCGTGAGCATATTAATCTTATTACTTTTGGCAAGCAGTTGATAAATTCTAAGACTGAAATGTATAGTTGACTTAATGATTCTTAGACTCACATTTTATTAGTCTTAAGAAAATCTTTCTTCATAATGAAGAGAGAATAAAAATAAGCAGCTCTTTTCTTTCTTCTTTCCTTTGCAGTAAAGATTAATGGCCAGAAAGTGGGAATTTTTCAGGCCAGTTTTATGGAAGCAACTGCCCAGTTTAAAGAGCAAGCTTTTGGCTGTGTGCAGGACCAACAACCTCAACTGCCATTCCTTTGAGTATTACCTCAAATGCCCAAAGATGGAGGGTCCCAGCCTGTCTTCATCCTTAATATTTAGATAAGGATTTATGCAATTTTTCCTTCTACATTCTACTTGCTCTTTTGGTACTTGAAAATTAAAATTACTTAAAAAGCTTATTTAACCATGACTGGAAAAGAAGGTTACTGCATATATTTTATCACCATGTAGACTGGAAGTGAATTGCCATGGTCATTCTTAGCTAAAAAGAAAAACCTTAGGAGAGGATCACAAAGGCTCACTAGCTATGTACATATGATCATATAAGATAATATTTATGAAAATAAATTCTAAGAAATGGAAGCGAGTTTTTTTTTCTTTGTTGCAATTTTTGTTCTTTACCTTTTGTCTTGTTTGCAAGTTTATCTGTTTCGGGGAGAGTGGAGGTAGCACAGAAAAGGTGGGATCAAGAGTGAACGAATTGGCAGTAGTACTCATCAGAGTCTATGCTCAAAATAAACTATAGAACTTGTGGGTGGGGATGGGAGTGGGAGAGAGAAACATTGTTCAAAAAGAAATGCATTCATTACCTGATGTATGTAACTGTAATCCCTCTGAACATCACCTTTACAATAACAATAAATAAACTGTAGAACTTGTCGGTGGGGATGGGAGTGTGTGTGTGTTTGTGTGTGTGTGTGTGTGTGTGTGTGTAATGTTATTGGCTCACGCCTGTAATCCTAGCTACTAAGGAGGTTGAGATCTGAGGCTCATGGTTCAAAGTCAGCCTGGGGAAAGTTCATGAGACTCTTATCTCCAGTAAACCACCAGAAAACCGAAAGTGGTACTGTGGCTCAAGTGGTAGAGTGCTAGCCTTGAGCTGAAGAGCTGAGGGACATCCCCCAGGCCCAGAGTTCAAGCTCCATGACCAACGGAAAAAAAAGAAATGTACTCATTACCTGATGTATGTAACTCTGAACATCACCTTTACAATAACAATGTGTGTGTATAAAAAAATAGGTGTCAAGATAGTCCTTGAATAAATTCTAATATATGTGAAAGAAAATTTGGAAATGTATAAATAAAAAAGATTAACAAGGATAATTATGAAAAGAGGAACCAAAGAATGTTTATTTTGCTTTTAAATGTTACTGAGGTCTTAGCTGATAGAACTTAATTTGGGAGACTTGACTTTACCAATTGATTAAAGAGTATAACTATTAACTGTAATATTCTTTTATAAATTTATTTTCTTCTCACATATATCACTAGCTCTTCATAGTCACTAGTAGTTTGGATTACTAGGATTGTCTTTACTTTTTAAATTTTGAAGAACTTTTTTTTGGGGGGGGGGTTCCAGTCGTGGAGCCTGAACTCTGGGCCTGGACACTGTCCCTCAGCTCTTCAGCTCAAGGCTAGCGCTCTACCACTTGAGCCACAGCGCCACTTCTGGCTTTTTTTCTTTTTCCTTATGTGGTGCTGAGGAATCGAACCCAGGGCCTCATGCTTGCAAGGCAAGCGCTCTACCACTGAGCCACCTTCCCAGCCCCCTACTTTTTAAATTTTAAGATATGTCTTTATTAAAAAACAATGCAAATGGTATGATTTTCCTGGGCCTTAGTTTTGTCATCTGAATTGAAGATAATTGAATCTAGAGGGTTGTTGCTATAATTAAATTATTTAAATGTCTAGAATAGTGCTTAGAAAAAAGGTAAATATTAACTAATATTAAATGATTATTTCACAGTTACTAGAATAGTGCACATCTGTAACATTTTAGTATGGAAAGATTCCCTATGATTTAAGTAAACAATTTTAGAGCAACATATACATATGGTATGAGCAACTATTTGTAAATAAAATTTTAGAATGAGAGGGCATTGGGTTAGAGCATTGGCGAGCAGGTGTGAAGCCTTGAATTCAATCAGTCCCCAGCATTGAAAATAAACATTTACAGTATATGAATTAGATTGGACTGTGCTCATCATTGCTAGTAGAAAAGACACTGATAAATCAGGCCCACCAAGCTGACCTTAAAGGGTCTGGTCAAGTCTCAGCACTTAGCTGCCTGTGGTGGGGCATGCCTGTTATTCTAGCAATTGGAAGGCTGAGACAGGAAGATCAAAGTCTGGGATATATAGGGAGATCCATCAAAAAGTAAATAAGCAAACAACCAAATATTAAAATAAACATTTAAAATTATATAGGTACATGTATTAAATGTATATGGCTAGATCTGGGAAGGATAAAATGCTTGTCTTAATGGTAGTAACCTCTAAGGAGTGAAATTAGTGGAGGGAAATAAGATTAAAGAAGCTGTTTTGGTGCTGTTTGGGATTTTTCCAAGAATGTATTAAAGTTAAAAATTGTAATTTTCCAAAGATTAAAAGGCTAGTACAACTTTTGACTTTTTTTAAAGCTGTTTTTAAATGGTAGATAGGTCTTATTCTCTAAGTGATGTGTACTTTTCCTTATTTTCCTTAGTGATTTACTAAGGTTTTCTTGGCAGGAACATGCTTACCCAGCTGATGAACTCATGCCTTTAACCTGTAGAGGCCGAGTTAGGGGCCAGGAGCCAAGTCGGGGTGACGTTGATGATGCCTTGGGAAAGTGAGTATAAGAATAAGGCACAGGTAGACATGACAAAGTGCCCAAGACTGCTTTAAATATTACATGGACACCTTGGTTCCTTCTGTTGTCTTTTGTAAACAAAATTATCTCTTAGAGAAAAGTAGCTTGCTAATAAGCTAAATGTAGATAGACATCATTTTAATGTAATCTTAAATGTATATAAAGTCAAAAGTACATGATAAAGTACATGTTGGTGCTTTACTATTTTCATATATTTTAAAATAAGAGCTAGTCAATGTTTTAATGCCTAGCTTTTCACACATCTCAGTTTTCATACATTGTACTATTGACAAACGTGTTAGTGAATAGAACTACCAGCTGATAGGATGAAGGTAAGTCTACCCATTTGTGGATGCAATATTTTAAATTCTAATGTTTTGCCATCTTGTTATATTTGTTTCTTAGATTCTCCCTAACACTGATTGATTCTTTGGACACTCTTGTGGTAGGTTCATTTCTTCTTGGAATCATCTATTGTATAAAGTTCATAATATGTACTCTCAGGGTTTGTAAATGCAATGCAGTAACTATGGAATGGAAGCTTTCAGATTTGTTTGAAATGAATTGTGTTTATGCCAAGTGAATGTCATGTAGAATAATAGAGAAACACAAGCAATTTGTGTTGACTGCTAGTAAGGATTTCTTTTCTTCTTGGATGTTGAAACTATTAGTAGAAAGTAATTTTGGAAAAGAGCTCAATATTTTCAATGATACTGAAATTGTTTAATTGAAATCTATTTATGCTCTTCCATAAACAAAATTATGTTTCCCAGCAATGAATTTTTTAATACCAAGTAATGGTTTTTTCTGACTCTCCAATCTTATGTAATACAGAAATCATTTTAATTAGTTCTGGTTCAAAATTGTTGATGGCAGAAGGGAGAGATGCAGTTCCAGATATCATAATTTCTAAGTCCAGTGTTTTAATGTTTTACATTTTGATCAGTATGATGTAAAAGTAGGTTTATTTAAGGATTTTCTTAAAAGTATAATGGAGGAGGGAAGGGATAGTGAGAGAACAGTAATGGAGTGGATAACAGTGTTCAACAAGAAATGTACCTTACTTATATAACTATAACTCCTCTGTACAGCACCTTTACAATAAAGTAAAAATTAAAAAAGCATAATTTGAGTTAATATCCTAAGTGCTTGCTTAAAAAAAATAAAAATTTTGTGGGATAACAGACTATTTTCAGAACCAGGATTTATTTCCTAATACTGTTTCCATGTTCTTTTTTTTTATACTTTTTTTTTTCTTTTAAGAACAAAGACTCTTAGCCTTAACTGCAGCTTACTTATGGAGTCATTTTTTTCTCTTTCTTTTTCTTTTTTTCCTTTTTCCTATTCAGGTTTTTCTGATTGAATTGTTCTGAATGAAGCATTATTATTTAATTTTCTAAAGCCAATCTTTAGTTTTGAAATGCAGGTATGGTTGAAATACCATATTTGGTTAGACCTTTTTTTTTTTGTTTGGTCATGGGGCTTGAACTCTGGGCCTAGGCACTGTCCCTGAACAATTCAGCTCAAGGCTAGTGCTCTACCACTTGAGCCACAGTGCCACTTCCAGCCTTTTCTGCTTATGTGGTCCTGAGGAATCAAACCCAGGGCCTCATGCATGCAAGGCAAGCACTCTACCATTGAGACACATTCCTAGCCCTGGTTAGACCTTTTTAACTGAGCCATTGTTTTGAAAGTCACAAGTTCATTTTTTTGCAGTTGATGAAATGTACAACAACATTGTAATAGCTGTGAAAATAGAATATTGTATATCTTATTTATGATTTAGTCCTAGGTTTTCTGCATATAATAGGAAAGAGAAAAAGATATACAAGATATCCTGAAAGGCACAGATGACCACCTGGGAGAACCTAAATGGGTGTTATTTATTGGTAACTGAGTAATGCATATCAAGTCTGCCTTGATGTGGGCAATAGGTGAGGACCAGAAAGACCACAGGTGCACTTAATTTTTTTTTTAATCTGTCATCTTGGCTTTATTTTTCCATTTGACAGCTCCCTCTCATTTCTTACATTCATGTCAAGATTAAGAGGAGAAAGCAGTCAATTTAGGATGAGGTTTCCTGCTGTGATTGATTCAGGGATTATTCTAAATTTTACTTGAATGTTAGACACATTCTTAGGAACTATTTCATACCTAAGTTATAATTTTTAGTGAAAGTGTCAAATCAAAAGAGTATTAAAAATATTCTTAAAGAGATTAAATAGTAAAATAAGGATGAACTACTTTTGATGTGCCTCATCTCTATAAATAACACCTACTTTTGTCCTTAAACTGAAATGACAGCAGAACATGCATGACAGTGACCCCTTCATGGAGCTCTTTGCAAGAATCAGGATTCTAGGCTTGCATGGTATAACAATGATTTGAAATGCATTATTGTACTTTAAATCAGACACTGCTAAAATATACTTTACTTACGTTATCTCACTTTAAAAAACAACCCTATAAGAGTAGGTATTTCTTTTTGTAGATGAAAAAGCATGTGCAAAGATTTATGTAAATTAACTTGGATCACCAGAACTCAAAGCCTACAGTTTACCATAACATTATACTGCCTCCTTAGTGAACCAGGGCATCCATGGAGTAAGATGGCAGATATATAACTCAGAATCAGTCAGTTAAAGAGAGTACTTTCTTCAGAACATAAATAAATTTTGACAAGTTTGATGAAAAGGATGATTTTGTTGTTACTGTTCTGACTTGAAAATCAAAACCCAAATCCTAACTAATTATGGTTTATGGGTTTATATGAGAGTCAGAGTGAGTGGTGTGGGGAGAGAAAGAAGAGAGAGAGAATAGAAGATGAGAAGAGACCATCTTTTATTTGAATTGCTTATTTAAGTAATGTTACAGATTTTTAGAGCTTTTGTATTTGTGAATTATTGTCATAACTTTTACAGGTTGAGAGTGCTAAGCTAGAAATCTGCAACATTTGAATAATCCCAGCATCACATTGGAACACTCAGAAATTTTAAGATTTTTGTATTTTGGTCTTAGACATGGTCAACCTATATAAAGAACCTAGTATCTTATTTATTTATATATTTGTTTGTTGGTTTGTTTGTATCAGTTCTGAGGCTTGAACTCAGGGCCAGAGAACTGTCCCTGAACTGCTTTTTACTCAAGGCTAGTGCTCTACTACTTGAGCCAGAGCTGTACTTCCAGCTCTTTTGGGGGGCGGAGGGGGACGGGTGGGGAGAAGAGGAAGGTAGTTTATTGGAGATAAGAGTTTCACAAAGTTTCCTTCTGGCTTTGAACCCCAGTCCTCAGATCTTAGCATCCCAGAATAGCTATGATTGTAGGTATGAGCCACCAATGCCTGGCTAGTTTTGTTTTTTTAGATTATTAAACTACTTCATTGTATCTAAAAAAAAGAAGTGTGTTAAGATACTGTATTACTAAGCACACTTTTTTTTTCAGGTTTAAACATGATGTTTTATAATTAAAGGAAGTACTGTGTCAATCTTTTGAGACTTAGTGTATTAAAATTGTTTGTACTTGCTCATTCTAAAACTATTTCTCCTTGACTTCATAGCAAAAATTTTTCCATAATTTTCTCCTCCTAGGTATTAAATAAAACTAAAGAATTTGAAGATGCGGTGAGAAAAGTTTTAAGAGATGTTAATTTAGATAATGATGTAGTTGTGTCAGTCTTTGAAACAAACATCAGAGTTCTTGGGTAAGTATATAAGGCGATGAAACTATTATTTATTTATTTATTTATTTTTGTCAGTCATGGGCTTGAACTTAGCCTGGGCCCTGTCCCTGAGCTCTTTTGCTCAAGGCTAGTGCTCTCCCACTTTGAGCCACAGCTCCGTTTCTGGTTTTTGAATGGTTAATTGGAGATAAGAGTCTCATGCAGACTTTTCTGCCTGAGCTGGTTTTGAACTGCAAGCATTAATTAGATTTCAGCCTCCTAAATAGCTAGGATTACAGGCATGAGCCACTGGCACCCAGCTTGAAACTAATTTTATAAGAAGTTTAGAGCTGTTTATTCTTTGAAGATAAGAAAGAGGCTTCTCATGTTTAAAAGGTGAAATTTAGGTTATTTTTTTTTTTTCCTGGGGCTTGAACTCAGGGCCTGGGCACTGCTGCCCTTGAGCTTCTTTTGCTCAGGCTAGCCCTCTACCACTTGAGCCACAGTGCCACTTCTGGCCTTTTCTGTTGATGTGTTATTGAGGAAACAAACCCATGGCTTCATGCATTGCTAGGCAAGCACTCTACCACTAGGCCACATTCCCAGTTCTAAAATTTAGGTTATTATGAAACACAGAGGTTACAGGAATAATCTTGCATTGTGTCCATCACAACTATCAGTGGTCTATGGAAATAGATGAGTCAAGTCCATGTGGACCCCTGTGTAAAAAGAAATTAGCAGTTGAAAATATGTCATATTAGTGATAATAGTTTTTTCATAACTTACATGTTTTTTTCTTTTTCTTTTTTTTTTGGTCCGGTTGTGGGCCTGAACTCTGGGCCTGGGCACTGTCCCTCAGCTCTTCATCTCAAGGCTAGTGCTCTACCACTTGAGTCACAGTGCCACTTCCGGCTTTTTTTTTCTACTTATGTGGTGCTGAGGAATCGAACCCAGGGCCTCATGCATGCAAGGCAAACACTTTACCACTGAGCCACCTTCCCAGCCCGCTTTCATGTTTTTCTAGCTTTAGCTTGGCACTTCCGCAGAAAAAGGCAAATGAAGTGAATTGTATAGGATTGCCTCTCATGAAATGTTTAAAAATAATTGCAAGATTTATTCATTTGTTTCAACATTGGAAAAGTTTATTTATTTATTTATTTGGCCGTGGGGCTTCAGCTCTGGGCCTGGGCCCTGTCCCTGAGTTCTTCAGTTCAAGGCTAATGCTCTACCACTTGAGCCACAGCGCCATTTCAGTTTTCTGGTGGGTTATTGGTGATAAGAGTTTCATGGACTTTCTTGCCCGGGCTGCCTTTGAACTGTGAACTCAGATCTCAGCCTCCTGTGTAGTTAGGATTACAGGCGTGAGCCACCAACGCCCAACTGGGAAAGTTTTATTTTTAAACAGAACTATGTTGTAACTCATTTTCTTTTGTCAAATAAATCTACTCTTCAATTACATATATTTAAGAAAAAGTTACATAGCTTTTCAAAGCTTTTTAGTATTATGTTTGATAGAATAAGAGGTATTTTTATTTTAAAATGTTATACTAAGTTAACAATTTCATAATAATTAATTAAAAATTAAATGTTGTTAAAACTTACTACATTGTTTTAATAAGCATGATTTCTAAGATGTTAAGAAAAGCCTTTTAAGAATGTTGTTATATAGCATTATAATTCTATAACAACATATATTATCTAATTTTTAAAAAATATGTTGACTATGTAACTGTCATAAAATGAGTAACCAGAAAAAAATAAAGTTCTTCCTGTATACTTTTGTATGCTAAATTGTTTAGAATGAAATGACATTTAAGTATCAGTAAGATACAAGTAATGTTTCATTTTTGTTATCCTAGGGGTCTTTTGGGTGGACACTCACTGGCAATCATGCTGAAAGAAAAAGGTGAATACATGCAGTGGTACAATGATGAACTTCTCCAAATGGCAAAGCAATTGGGTTACAAACTTTTACCAGCTTTCAATACTACCAGTGGCCTTCCTTATCCCCGAGTAAGTAATTTTGCAAAAGAACTATCTTCATAGACTGCTTTTTCATTCATTACAAATGAATTTTTACATTCACAACCCTTGTTTCTCACCTACTTGAGGATAAAAAAACTGCTTCAAAGCTGTATAACAAATTTATATTGACATTTCAGTTAACTTACATTTAAGTGATACGAGAATTAGATTTGTTTCAGCTGTACTGTGTATCAGTGTAACAGATTAGATTATGCTTCAGAAAGAAGAAACAGATGCCAGGCTAGGATGTAGGCCGGAATTGTTGGTGCCAAAGTTATGTTTGAAGCAGTGAGAGTAGGTAGGTGTTACTCTCCAAATGAGGCTATAGAGTGAACACTTCACAGATGGGTCATGACAACCAAGTAGAGTTGGTGGAAAGGAGCGCTTTCAGAGATTTAGGAGGCAAACCATACTGTAGCAGATAGTATTGTAAAGTACAAAAACAGAAGCTTCAAAAGAAGTAGATGTTCTACAAATCTAAAGGAGAGTTGAGTGCATATGGATTCTTGAAGGATGTAGTATGGTAGATTGAAGGTAGAAGAAGGTTGCAGTGTAAGTGTCCACCTTGGGAATTGTTCTGTATTAATAATTTAAAGAAAGGTAGCAGCATTCATTCTAGAGGGCTTTGTTGGATTTTGTTTTGTTCCCTCCCAGAAAATTTATTTAAAGCAGAAGGAAAGAAGCCATTGGAGATATAAAGAGCTCTCCCTTTTGATTTGTTTCATTGTTAACATTGGTCTTTCCCTCTTAGCCAAGTCAAAGATCTCAGCCATTACCGAGGTCTTAAGCTTTTTTCCTTTTCTTATTGCTGCTATGATATTGGAGCCAATATAATTTTGTTATAATATAATCAGAAGAGGAAATACATTACGGAGTAAGAAGTTAGGAAGAATTTGAGTAGTTATTGTTGAATTGCTTTCCCAAGAGATTCTGTTCCACTTCCTTGGTATTACATAAAAGTGCACATACTGGGGCTGGGAAGGTGGCTCAGTGGTAGAGTGTTTGCCTTGCATGCATGAGGCCCTGGGTTCAATTCCTCAGCACCGCATAAGCAGAAAAAAGCTGGAAGTGGCGCTGTGGCTCAAGTGGTAGAGTGAATAGCCTTGAGCAAAAGGAGCTCTGGGACAGTGTTTGGGCCCTGAATTCAAGCCCCAGTACTGGCACACACACAAAAAAAAGAATAATCTTTTTACATAATTTTATAGCAATCATCTTAGGGTAATAGGCTATAATTCAATATAGGAACATCTTGAATATATATGTATATATAATATGTATATACATATTACATATATATATATATATATTTTTTTTTTTTTTTTTTTTTCTCCCATGGGGCTTGGACTCAGGCTTTGTCTCTGAGCTCTTTCACTGAAGGCTAATACTCTACCATTTTGAGCCACAGTGCCACTTCTAGTTTTCTGGTGGTGAATTGGAGATGAGATACTCAGATGTTCCTGAGTGGGCTAACCTTGAACTATGATTCTTATATCTCAGCCTACTGAGTAGGGAGGATTACAGGCATGAGCCACTAGTGCCCAGTTTGATTTTTTAAAAAAATTTTTGTAATGATGCTGAGGGGTTACAGTTGCATGAATAAGCAATGAGTACATTTCTTGTTGAGTATTGTTACCCCTTCTCTTGTTGCTCTTCCACTATTCCTTCCCTCCCTCACCTTCTTCATCTCCCCCTGCCCCAAGTTGTAAAGTTCATTTTTTTTCCTTTTTTTTTTAATTGTGAAAATACCATACAGAGGGGTTACAATTACATGAACAAGATAATGAGTACATTTGTTATCAAGCATTGTTGCCTCCTCCTTTGTTTCCCCTTCCCATCCCTTCCCATCTCCCTCCCTCCTCCACCAAAGTTGTAAAGTTTGTTTTTCAACATAACGATTTGTACATCTCATTGTTGCAATGGGTCCACCTGTATCCCTATTTAAACAATTTGTTTTTTTCCTTCCCCTCCACAAATTATACCAACATCAAATACAGTGAAAGCAGGGGTTATATCACGGGTGAGGGACATACAAAGCAACAAAGAAATCATCTTATAAATATACTGTCTTGTGGGTATGATTATTGCAATGGGTCATCCAGTGTCCTTGTTCAGCGTTTTGTTATTCCCCTTCCCTTCCCCCAATTACACAAATGTATATACAAGATGCAGGGTACCAACATCAAATACAGTGATAACAGGGGATATACCATAGGGGAAGAACATACGAAGGAAACAAAAATTACATAGTACATTAAAAACAACACCATCACAGAAAGACCTTTTTGTGTCCATATTCTGAGGTTCATTTCACTTAGCATCCTCTTATATGGTACATAGCTTTTGAGCTTTTCTGCTCATGTGATAAAATTACCCTAGATGTATGCTAATTATTGCAAATGAGGGAAACTATGGGACCTATATTTCTTTGGGTCTGGATTACTTCATTTAATACGATTTTTCCCAAGTCTTTCCATTTCCTGACAAATGGGGTGGTGCCATTCTTTCTGATAGAAGTATAGAATCACATTGTGTGTGTGTGTGTGTGTGTGTGTGTGTGTGTGTACGTACATATACACACATATATATATGCCACATTTTCTTGATCCATTCATCTGTTGAGGGGCATATGGGTTGGTTCCATATCTTAGCTATGGTGAATAATGCTGCGATAAATATAGTTGTGCTGGTAACTTTAGAGTGGCCTTGTTTGTGATCATTTGGGTAAATGCCTAAAAGTGTGATTGCTGGGTCATAGGGGAGCTCTTATGTGTAGTTTTTTGAGGAACCTCCATACTGCTTTCCAAAGTGGTTGAACAAGTTTACACTCCTACCAACATGCAGTAGGGTTCACTTCTGGCCACATCCCCTCCAGCATTTCTTGGTTATAGCCATTCTATCTGGGATGAGGTGGAATCTCAGTGTTGTTTTGCATTTCTTTTATGGCCAGAGTAGTTGAGCATTTCTTCATGTGTCTATTGGCCATTCTTATTTCTTCTTCAGAGCAATCTCTCTTTAAGTCTTTAGCCCACTTATTAATGGGGAGGTTGTTTCTTTGAGGATTTGTTTTTGGAGAATTTAACTTTTTTAAGTTTTAAGTGTATTTTAGATATGAGGCCCTTGTCTGTTGTATAGCTAGTGAAGATCTCCCAATGTGTGGACTTTCTATTGATCTTGCTAGCTATGTCCTTTGCCATGCAGAAGCTCTGCAGTTTAATGCAATCCCATTTGTCCAACCTTTCTTTGACTTGTTGTGTTTGAAGTTTTTTTTTTTTTTTTGGCAGTCATGGGGCTTGAACTCTGGGCCTGGGTGCTGTCCCTCAGCTTTTCAGCTCAAGGCTAGTGCTCTGCCACTTGAGCCACTGCACTACTGGTTTTCTGGTAGTTGATTGGAGATAAGAGTCTTACAGACTTTTCCTGCCCAGGCTGGCTTTGGACTACAATCCTCAGATCTCAGCCTCCCGAGTAGCTAGAATTACAGGCATAAGCCACTGGTGCTCAGCTGAATATTTTTTATATATATATAAAGTTAGTAGTTTAAAGTACTTTTGGGCTAAAAATACTAAAAATGTTATATAAATGTTTATTCTTTCCTGTCTTGCTTTTGCTTTCTTGTGACTCCTGAGTTTTACAGTTTTAGCTTACTACTTCCAGTGTACTATTTCCTCTTCTAAATTTTGTATTTATTTTATCACTTCGTTTTGCTCAGCACTTATTGATGCTTTCCCATTAATTTACTATCTCTTTTATACATATATTTACATATATATATATCTTTTATTTACCCTGTCTGAGTTTTAAGCAAGCAAGCAGATCTTCTTTAACATCTTACCATAATATCCAGTAACTAGTGCAATTAATAGATTTTGATCAGTTGATTTTAGTAATTATAGAACAAGTAAATACTGTTTACTGTTAACCCTTACTGAAAATATGTATAAATTGTTATACGTTATATTATTGTAATTTTGCTAATTTTTAAAAGTGAGTTTTGCCTTTTATCTTAAATTTGTTAATCTTTTTTTTTTTTTATTGTGAGAATACCGTACAGAGGAGTTAGAATTACATGGGCAAGATAACGAGTACATTTCTTATCAAGCGTTGTTGCCTCCTCTTTGTTTCCCCTTCCCACCCCTTCCCATAATCTTCCCCTCCCCCCACCGGATCCTCCCCCCACCCCCCAAATTTCTTAATGGTCTTAATAACTGAGGTTAATAATGGCAAAGATCCTTATGAATTTAAGTGGAGATGGAATGAAAAAAATGGTTATGGAAGGTATTTTCTGTTACTGTTGTAATGATACTGCATTTTGATACAATCAAGGAAGGAATTAAATGAAAACTTACTTTCCCCATAAATATTTCATGCTTAGTATATATTTCTGAGTGATTATTGAAAATCACAAAGATCAGAGATTGGTTTTTAAAAAATGGTTAAAATAGCTTATTATATAACTTATAATGTTTCTTGTAATTAGTTTAATTCTAATTAGATTAATTGTGGTTTTATTCAGATTAATTTGAAGTTTGGCATCAGAAAACCAGAAGCTCGGACAGGAACAGAGACAGATACCTGTACAGCTTGTGCAGGTACCTTGATCCTTGAATTTGCTGCTTTAAGTCGATTCACAGGAGCAACAATATTTGAGGTTTGCTTTTCTTTGATCTTTATCTTCTGGGTATTGGGCATTGCTAACTTAGTATTTCATTTTCATTGGTTAAGTATTATGGTTATCAGTTGGAGAATTACTATTATTTTCATAAGCTTTTTATCCAAATTTTTTTAATTTTCAAAAACAAGTCTTTGTTGGCTACATTAAATATAACATTAAATACAACCCGATATTTTGTTTACAAGCTATAAAGCGAAATTTTAGTTTTCTTTTTTTTATTTCTAGTTATTTTATTGTTCTATTTTTTCTTTTTTTTTTTTTTAATTTAATTTTATTTTATTTGTGAACATACTGTACAGAGGGGTTACAATTACATGGGCAGGATAATGCGTACATTTCTTACCAAGCATTGCAGCCTCCTCCTTTGTTTACCCTTCGCCTCCTTCCCAGCCTCCCCCCTCCCCCCCAATCCCAATCCTTCTCCTTCCCCCCCCTTCCCCCCCCCCGAAATTTTAGTTTTCTTAGAAGATTGTTTAGCTATATTTTTATAAAGTTGATGATTCCTTGATACGACATCTTTTTTTTTTTTTTTTTTAATTTAATTTTATTTGTGAACATACTGTACAGAGGAGTTACAGTTACATGGGCAGGATAATGTGTACATTTCTTACCAAGCATTGCAGCCTCCTCCTTTGTTTACCCTTCACATCCCTTCCCAGCCTCCCCCCTCCCCCCCAATCCCAATCCTTCTCCTTCCTCCCCCCCCCCCAGCCCCCCCCCCCCCCCCCCCACACCAACGTTGTAAAGTTCGTTTTGGACATGACAACTTGTACTTCTCATTGTTGCAACAGGTCCACCTGTTGATACGACATCTTAATGTGAGATGCTGTATGTTTTATCTTGTCTTTACTAATTTTTTTAAAACAGTGTAATGTTTGCATGTAAATCTTAAGTGAGATTACTCCATGGGAAATGTTATTTATTATCCAAAAGACAAATTTGATTAAACAAGCCATCAGAGTACAAGAGTTGTTTGAACACCTTTTTTTTCCCCTGCCAGTCCTGGGGCTTGATCTCAGGGCCTGGGCACTGTCCCTGGGCTTCTTTTGCTCAAGGCTAGCACTGTACTACTTGAGAGCCACAGTGCCACTTGTACTGAGGAAACCCAGGGCTTCATGCATGCCAGACAAGCACTCTGCCACTAGGCCACATTCCCAGTCCCGAATATTGCTTTTTTTAAATATAGGACTTAGGTGAATTTTTAAGAACACAGTGAGTGATACACATAGACAGAGCAGAAATAGAAGTATATACCAACAGCAGCCAGTAGATATGAATATAAATAAAAGAAGTGAAATGTTCTTCATGTATGTATATATGTGTATTTGAGGATCTTCATGTTTTATTGGTTACCTTGTTGACTGACTTTAATCCACAATTAAAACTTTTGTACTCTATCTTTACACTGCAATGTGAATTTAGTTTAATGAGGTGTGTGTGTGTGTGTGTGTGTGTGTGTGTGTGTGTGTGTGTGTGTGTGTGTGTGTGTGTGTGTGTGTGTGTGTGTGTGTGTGTGTGTGTGTGTGTGTGTGTGTGTGTGGGCGCATGCTGGTCCTAGGGCTTGAATTCTGGGCAAAGGTGTTAAGTTCTTTTGCTCAACGCTAGTGCATTACCACTTGAACCATGGCTCCACTTCCAGCCTTTTGGATGAATTTTATTTGGAGATAAGAGGTTCACCAACTTTTCCTGACTCTGCAGGCTTCAAATTACAATCCTCAGATCACAGCCTCCTGAGTAGTGAGGATTACCAGGTGTGAGCCACTGGCACCCAGCTAGTTTAATGATTTTGTTGTTGTTGTTTTTTTTGGTTGGTCGTGGGGCATGAACTCTGGGCTTGGGCACTGTCCCTCAGCTCTTCAGCTCAAGGCTAGAACTCTACCATTTGAGCCACAGCGCCACTTCTGGCTTTTTCTGCTTAGGTGGTGCTGAGGAATTGAACCTAGGGCCTCATGCATGCAAGGCAAGCACTCTACCACTGAGCCACCTTCTCAGCCCCTAATGATTTTTTTTTTTTAATAGTAGTATTCTGCAATACCAAATAGGTTCAAACTCTAAAACTTAAAAATCACTTATACATGCCCTTTCTTTTTATATTTTGCAAAATCTTTTTATCTAAAACCAAAAATTTGATCAGAAATCATTTAGAATTAGTGTGAATCAGGAAAAATAAATGAAAAAGCAAAAATTTATCACAAAGCTGTATTTGATATTATACCAAATATTCACAAATAAGAGTTGAAGATATTCACTTCGTGTTCAAATGATAGAAATTATCTTAAGTATATTTAATTATGCCAGCAATTGACATGATTTAATAGTACATGTGTGTGAATGTGAGCCTATGCTACAAGAGTAGATGGACCTGAATGGTCTCCAAGAGCAATCTCAAACTGAACAGTCCATTTAGAAGCCTTAACTAGACTGAATGAAAAAGAGCCAGGAAAGATGTGACTTCAAGAAAATTTTTATTATAAATGGTTATTTTAGAAATTTTCTTGATCTTTAAAATATTCTATGGGCCTTTGATTCATGTTTGTTCCTTTTTGCCAAAGTCATACAGTTACAAGCAAGATTCCTTTTTAAATTACAGGAATATGCACGGAAAGCTCTTGATTTTCTCTGGGAGAAAAGACAGCGAAGTAGTAATTTAGTAGGTGTGACCATCAACATTCATACTGGAGATTGGGTACGAAAAGGTATGTAAATTAGGCTTTTAAAGTCAGACCTTCACATCCTCAGAGTGGGAAATAAACTATTAGTTAAAATAATCATTGGTACAATATTTTATTTCATGCTTTGCATTATAAATATATATAAATGCATTATAAATATAGAGTATAGTTGAAACATAAGTTTATTTCTTTGAGAAGTAGAGTCAGTATCTTGGATATCTCATAGCAAGGGGTACTGTAATATATAGATTTAATAATATTATAATTGATGTTAATCTCTGATTAATAATTTTACTTCTGAGTATCTAGCTTGAAGACGTAACAAACTATAGAAAACAGTTTGTCCCCTTTTTTTTTTGTCGGTTGTGGGTCTTGAACTCTGGGCCTGGGTGCTGTCCCTTTGCTCTTCAGCTCAAGGCGAGCACTACTTCCAGTTTTCTGGTGGTTAATTGCAGGTAAGAGTCTCACGGACTTTCCTGCCTGGGCTGTCTTTGAACCGTGATCCTCAGATCTCAACTTCCTTTGCAGGTGTGAGCCACCGGCACCCTGCTTGTTCCTAAAATTTTATCATGTATTCATTTGTAGTTCTAGGAAACAGTCTAATAAAAGTCATCAGTCAGTAAAAGACATCAATGTTGGAATATTAAGTTATAAATTGGAAACAAGGAAATAAACATACAGCAATGTTATTTGAACCAATGGTATATGTTATTGTGTAAAGAATATGATTTGAGGGGTACTAATTAGGGTTTGAACTCAGGGTTTTGCGTTTGCTAGGTAAGTATTCTACCACTTGAGCCACAACTCTAGCCCATTATGTTCTGGTTATTTTTAAGATAAAGTCTCCTTTTTGATTGGGATATCCTGGCAAATCCTCCTATTTCCTCACTGTAGCAGTGACAAGCATGTATCACTACACCTAGCTATTCCTGTTGACAAGCATGTACCACTGTGCCAGCTTTTTCTGATGAGATGGTGTTTTTCCAGGCTTACACTGGCCTGGAACATTGGTTCTGGTGATCTCAGCCCCCAGTATAGCTGGGATAACAGGTGTACACCACCATGCCCCAGCTATTAGGCTTAAAGTTGATGAAATGGAGGCTTCCTCAACTTTATGCCTGGGCTAACTTGAGATCCTCCTGCTCTCTGCCTACCAAGTAGCTAGAATATTCGATGTGAGCCACTGGCACTCAGTAAGAATCTGATTTTATAATTTAAAAATCCCCTATAAAACAAGCATTGGAGAATGGAAATACACTTAAGTATATTTTTGTGAGATTATCTTTTAACAAATATACTTTCCAAAGGTTTATCTTGTGTTTGTCTGAAAAAAAGGACTAAGCGGTTAAAAACTGTTTAATTATTAAACTATTAACTAACTACCCTATAATTAGGGTAGTTAATATTCTACTTAAGGAACTAATTACAAATACCAAATCATTTTTTACCATTAATATACTTTCACTAGCAATATATAAGAGAATCCTGTCTTTTAACATCTCCAATACTATGTTGAGAGACCATTCAAGTTTTTGCCAAGCTAGAGTGTACAACTGTTAACAAATTGTAATTTGATTTAGCATTTCTTTGATTGCTATTGAGGTTGAACATTTCTTCATATTTGTTGGATTACATATGTTCTTTTGTTTTTTCCATTTGTTAATGAGTTAAAATGTGTTTAAAAATTGTTTGAAAACTTTTTTATACATGCTTAATATTTGTCAGTTGTGTATATCTCATATGTTTATGACTTTCATTTTCACTTTGTTTTTATTTGTCAATCTTTCATTATTAATATTATAAATACTTTTACTTTGTTTAAGAATGCCTTCTTAATAAGAGGTCTGACAGATACTGATTTTTTTTGTGTGTGTGTCCGGTCGTGGGGCCTGAACTCTGGGCCTGGGCGCTGTCCCTCAGCTCTTCAGCTCAAGGCTAGCGCTCTACCCCTGGAGCCACAGTGCCACTTCCGGCTTTTTTCTTTTTTTGCTCATGTGGTGCTGAGGAATCGAACCCAGGGCCTCTTGCATGCAAGGCAAGCGCTCTACCACTGAGCCACCTTCCCAGCCCAGATACTGATTCTGATACTAAGAATTTCAGAGTTTTGTTATAAATAATGATGTTCTTAATCTGTAATGTGGTGAACTGGTTCTTATAGATGTCGTCTTTCTTTGAGATATTAACAGTGCTTTTCACAAACACAGGAGAAATAAAAATATTCAGAATTCATTGCTCTATATTTCACATATACTTACAGTCAGTGTGACACCTTTGAAGTTCATTGACATGTTCTTTATTTTCTAGAACATAGTTTTTGTAACTGCTCCATATGTACTTAAGAAAAAAGGTTTTTTCTAATTATTGTATGTAGAATTCTATATATGTTAACTTTCTTTTTTGTTTTTATTTGTATATATTAAATGTACAAAGTGATTAATTTCATTGATATTTCATACATGTCTCATTTATGTTGCATGGAATTTCCTAACATACCTGTTTCTATCTTTTTTCAATCTTTACAGATGCTTATGGTTATGTGTCTTTTGCAAAATATATTTCAACTCATTTTAATTAGTGAATTGAGTCCATTTGCTATTGATATTTGTAGTATTATATACATTTATAGTATATCTAGACGTATACTATTTTTATGGTATTTTAGTATATCATATATATATATATATATATATATATATATATATATATATATATATATTTCCATTGTTGTTGTACTAGTAGCCCTCATTTGTACCCTAAAGAATTTTTAGAACTTATTTAATGAAATATATATATATGTATATTTTGGGGGGGGGGGTAGTATCTTTTTTTTTTTGTAGTATGTAGTATGAGCAGTGAACTCAGTCTCTCATACTTAACTAGGCAAGTGCTCTCTACCACTTGTTTTTCACATGGGGTCTCTTACTTTTGTTATACTGGCCTGAGACAGCAGTCTTCCTAACTCTCCTTCTTGAGTAGATGGGACCATAGGTATATGCTGCTACATCCAGTTTATTTTGAGATAGAATCTTGCGCTAGCTGGCCTTGAACCATTGTCCTTTTGCCGTCACCTCCTGTGGAAGTTACAAGCATGTGCCATCACGATCTGTTACATTCCTTTGTTTTAAATTTATACCTGTATCTACTTCCTGAAAATATGTAAACATTAGTATGCTCTCCCATCCCTTGTCTCCCTCTACCCCAACTTCAATCCCATTTCATTTATTTTATATCAAAATTTTGTTTTTATTGATTTTACCTTTTTCAGTCTTAATGTTCTCTGTGTGTATCAGTATCCCTCCTTCCTTTCTTCCCTCCTTTCTTAACTACTTAAACAATCTCTACCTAGATATTTATTTATGTATACTTTCTAAATTGCTTATAATATCTGGGTTTGTCTTTTTTTTTTTTTTCTTTGGTCGTGGGGCCTGAACTCTGGGCCTGGGTGCTGTCCCTCAGCTCTTCAGCTTAAGGCTAGTGCTGTATCACTTGAACCACAGCACCACTTCTGGCTTTTTTCTGCTAATATCGTGCTGAGGAATCGAACCCAGAAACTTATACATGCAAGGCAAGCACTCTACCACTTAGCCATCTTGCCAGCCTGGGTTTGTCTTTTAAGTAAAGTTGCCCTCTACATCTGTGGGCTCTTTTATGGATTTAGCCAATTGAAAGATGGGAAAAACAAAGTTCATTTGTAGTCTTTTTATTCTTATCATGATTCCCTTTGCAATGCAGGATAGTAACCATTTATATTGCATTTAAAGTAGACTAGGTATTGGAAGTAATGTAGAGATGATTTTTAAGGTGTATAAACAAACGAGTATGATTTGTATGCAAGTACTAAAACCATTTTGTATGAAGGACTTGCACATGCTTCTATGTTGGAGTCCTGAAATCAAACTACTGTAGATATCCAGGGATGATTGTATTTCACCCCAAATTATTTTCAGTAGGTTTCCATAACAGCTAAAGTCAAATACATTTAATGATTTTATTTATATTTGAGTGATAGTTAGGCTGTATATGATTTTTGGTTTAAGTTATCTTTCTTCAAATTCGAAAAGACAGCTCTGTTGTCTTCTTCCTTCCTGGTAAAAAATGTGATACCCTATTCCTATTTATTTATTTAGGTACCACTCCTGGAGCTTGAACTCAGGACCTTGGTGTTGTCCATGAGCTATTTTGCTCAAGGTTAATACTCTATCACTTGCATTGCAGCTCCACATTCAGCTTTTTGGTGGTTTGTTAGAGATGAGTCTCACTGCCTTTTCTACCCAGGCTGGCTTTGGTGATCCTCAGATCTCAGCCCTGAGTAGTTAGAATTACAGGCGTCAGCTACTGGTGCCAGGTTGTTGTTTGTATTTTTAAGTCCTAATGGGTGATCTTTTTTTTTTTTTTTTTGCAAGATTTATAAGTAGATTACATTCTAAAAATTCCACTATAACTTTAGGTTTAGCTTTTCTCCTTTTAGTCTTTGGGTCACTTCAATTTAAAATCTTATTTTTTCTTGCTAAAAATTGTTTTTAAAATATTTGATTCTTTGGGTCTGGGAATGTGGCTCAGTGATAGAATGCTTGCCTTGCATGCATGAGGCCCTGGGTTCGATTTCTCAGTACCACATAAACAGAAAAAGCTGGAAGTAGTGCTGTCGCTCAAGTGGTAGAGTGCTAGCTTTGAGCACAGAGAGGCTCAGGGACAGTGCCCAGGCCCTGAGTTCAAGCCCCAGAACTGCCCCCCCCCAAAAAAAATATATGTTTGATTCTTCTTTCATGTATCTCTTTACAGTTGGAAATCACTACCACTTCATATATTTGCTAATATTTCCTGTTTCAAATAAGACCTTTGTAACTAATTTTGAAAATTAATTTTTTTTTTTTGTCGGTCATGGGGCCTGAACTCTGGGCCTGAGTGCTGTCCCTCAGCTCTTCAGCTCAAGGCTAGTGCTGTACCACCTGAGCCACAGCACCATTTCCGGCTTTTTCTGCTTATATGGTGCTGAGGAATTGAATCCAGGGCCTCATGCATGCAAGGCAAGCATTCTTTCACTGAGCCACCTTCCCAGCCCCGAAAATTAATATTTTTTTAAAACAAACCATTGTCAGGAAAAGAACTACTACTTATATACTGGGTTAATATTTCTGTAAATGTGTAATTTTTACTTTGAATAATTTCATGTTTAAACTTACTTTCACTGTTGTTGTACTAGTAGCCTTTATTTGTACTCTAAAGAATTTTTAGGACTTATTTAATGAATTATCATTTATATGTATTTTCTGTAGACAGTGGAGTTGGAGCAGGGATTGATTCATATTATGAGTATCTGTTGAAAGCCTATGTCTTGCTTGGAGATGACAGTTTTCTGGAAAGATTTAATACAGTAAGTTTATCCAGTTTTCTATTAATTTTATAACTAGTTTCATCTGACTACAGATTTTGACAGAAACTAGTTACCTATATATGTAATATTAAGTTTACCTTAATGATACTGGACCAGGGATATGCTAAAATTTGTATGTATTACAATAAGTTATATATAACTTATAGTATTTAATCCAATACATATTACAGAGTAATTTTGTTTTCATCTTTTATTTAGAAACTATCCAAGTCTTCCAGTAAGTAATAAAATATACAGGTTTGAATTTTACCTAATCTTTTATACATAAAAGACAATTACTGAAATAAGTTATAGTTAGCTTTCTCCTTTGGATTCCAATTCTGTTTGAAATGTTGGAGCTTTGGCCTGGTCCTTGATTAGACCAAATAGGGTTTTGGAGACTTGGAGGTGCTAAGTATACATTTTGAAAGTGGGTAAGTCTTAAAACTGACTCAGAGCCATAGACATAAACTTTTAAAGATAGGTAGGGTTGTTGAATCCAAGTGAATTACCTTTGTTATTGATGCAAACAAAAATATAATAATATTATTAATATAATTCTGATAGGTAATATAGTTCTTAATGTCATAAGTTATATATCACTGTATTATTTCAAACACTATTTACTCTTTCTTTTTGCCCACTCATCAGTTATTCCACATTATATACATGAAGCTTTGTAATAACTTGTTAAAAAGCAGGCAAGATAGCCTGTTTTAAGTCCTGCATCGATCACTTCTTGGTTTTGTGAACTTATGCAAGCAACTGTATTGCTCATCTACAAGTGGTGTTTTAGTGCATTTTTTTTCTTCTTGGTCAGTTGTGGGGCCTGAACTTGGCCTGGGCGCTGTCCCTCAGTTCTTCAGGTTAAGGCTAGTGCTCTACTACTTGAGCCACAGCACCACTTCCAGCCTTTTCTGCTTATGTGGTGCTAAGGAATTGAACCTAGGGCCTCATGCATGCAAGGCAAACACTCTGCCACTGAGCCACCTTCCTAGCCCTATTAATGCTTTTTAAAGGATGATTGGGAAGATTCAATGAACATCTATATACAAAGTTATTAGAGGAATACTTTAACTTGACAGAGGCTTAGTAAGAATGATTAACAGACAAGTTAGCAAAACAATAAAAACAACATATTAAAACGAATAAGTTACCTATTAAGTGCTTTAATACTATTACATGTATTATTTGATTTATAACAAGATTTCTTATAGGCAAGGTTGAGGCTCTGGGTTCAATTCTAAACAGAAGTTCAAATTGAGGAACCCAGTTCAATTATAATAGTAAAAGAAAATTCTTGAGGCATATTAGAACAGGAAACTTTCTGTTGGCTCATTAGCACAATTTGTTCTTTATTCAAAGTGATGAAATACCTAGGATAAAATGGGAAGAGTTCCTAAGAACATGAAAAGCAGAGATAGCACGCCATATTAATATTAATATAGATTAGATGCATTATTTCCAACAATAGTAAGCTCAGAATATTATGTTGAGAAAGGACCAAATTTTCTAGATACAAAAGAAAGCTAATTTTGTAATATAGGCTATGATAGTCCAGAGGGGTTCTAAGAGCATCTCAGAAACACAAAGATATACTTACTCACTGTGAGCTAATCCCATAGGAGAAGAGACAAGCCATTCAGATCTTTGAACTCAGCAGATCACATGTTATATATACTCTTTATTAGTAAGCATCTGACTCTCTTTCCCTTCAGACAGGGACTCTGTAGCCTAGGCTGACTTCAAGCTCTTAGTCCCCCTGCTTCAACCTCCTGAATATACATATTATAAGTACGTACTACACTTGGCCTCATATTCTATTTTTGAATCACTTTGACTTTATACTAATTATCTTGTTTGAGTTATGATTTTACGTTGCATGTGTTTGTGTGTTGCTGGGAATCAGAATCTTGCCTTTTCTATACTCAGTGCTGTACTACTGAGCTGTGTTCTCAGTCTCGCATCTGACTTAGAGAATGTAAGGAAGTGTAATATTTTAGAAAGATTTCTTTCCATCTAAAATAATTTAAATGTTTACACAGTTAATTGACAAATAGCAAACTTATTTATAAATGTATATAAAGTCAGGCTTAATTTCTTTACTATAATTTTTATGAGTTTAGAGTCGTACATGTTTTTTCATCTACTTCCCTGACCACATTGTTGTGATCCTGTAGCACTACAATGCCATCATGCGGTATATCAGCCAGCCACCTCTTCTGCTGGATGTGCACATCCATAAACCAATGCTGAATGCTCGAACTTGGATGGATGCCCTACTTGCCTTTTTTCCAGGCTTACAGGTAGAAAAAATTGTTTCTTAATATTCAAATAAAATTTATTCTAACTACTTTTGTGATCTCTAAAATTAATTGATGAAGTTTTGTCATGTTACAAAGTTGATTATTGTGTATATTAATTTACATAATGATCATAAGTAGAACTAGCTCATATTTTATGAGGTAACTTTTGTTATTCACTTCTAGGTTTTTTTTTCTTTTTTTTTTAATTTTAATTTTTTGTGAACATACTGTACAGAGGAGTTACAATTACATGGGCAAGATAATGAGTACATTTCTTATCAAGCATTGCAGCCTCCTCCTTTGTTTACCCTTCACATCTCTTCCCAGCCCCCCCCCCCCCTCCCCGCACCAAAGTTGTAAAGTTCGTTTTTGACATGACAACTTGTACTTCTCATAGTTGCATTGGGTCCACCTGTATCCTTAAACGACTTGTTTTTCCCCATCTCCTCCACAAATTATACCGACATCAAATATAGTGAAAGCATGGGTTATACTGTGGGGGAGGGACGTGGGGGAGGGACCTACAAAGCTACAAAGAAATAATCTTATAAATGAGTTAGAAACAAATGCATGAAAGAAAAAAAACATTTAAATACATATCTAAGGGTTCATTTTCCTGACTTTTTTTTTTTTTTTTGGGTCCGGTCGCGGGGCCTGAACTCTGGCCTGGGCGCTGTCCCTCAGCTCTTCAGCTCAAGGCTAGCGCTCTACCACTTGAGCCACACCGCCACTTCCGGCTTTTTTCTTTTTTGCTTATGTGGTGCTGAGGAATTGAACCCAGGGCCTCAGGCATGCAAGGCAAGCGCTCTACCACTGAGCTACCTTCCCAGCCCAGGGTTCATTTTCCTAACATCACATTATCTGACCTTTCCTGCTTGACTCATACATATACTAGATACTGCAAATAAGGGAAACCATGGGACCTATGTTTCTTTGGGCTTGGCTTACTTAATATAATTTTTTCCAAGCCTTTCCATTTCCTAACAAATGGGGAAATGTCATTCTTTCTGATGGAGGCATAGAATTCCATTGTGTATATATACCACATTTTCTTGATCCATTCATCTACTGAGGGACATCTGGGTTGATTCCATATCTTAGCTAAGGTAAATAATGCTGCAATAAACATAGTTGTGTTGGTAGCTTTAGTGTGGTCTTGTTTGTAAACATTTGGGTAAATGCCCAAAAGTGGGATTCCTGGGTCTTAGGGGAGCTCTATGTGAAGTCTTTTCAGGAACTTCCATACTGCTTTCCAAAGTGGTTGAAAAAGTTTACACTCCCACCAACAATGCAGTAAGGTTCCCTTCTGTCCACATCCCCTCCAGCATCTGTTGTTGTTAGAGTTCTTGATTATAGCCCTTCTAACTGGGGTGAGGTGGTATCTCAATGTTGTTTTGATTTGCATTTCTTTTATGGCTAGGGAGGTTGAGCATTTCTTCATGTGTCTATTGGCCATCCTTCTTTCTTCTTCAGAGAAGTTTCTCTTCAAGTCTTTAGCCCACTTATTTATTGGGCAGTTGTTTCTTTGAGGATTTGTTGTTGGGGGATTTAATTTTTTGAGTTGCAAGTATATTTTAGATATGAGACCCTTGTCTGATGTATGGCTAGTGAAGATCTTCTCCCAATCTGTGGGCTTTCTATTGATCTTGCTAGCTATGTCCTTTGCCATGCAGAAGCTCTGCAACTTCATGCAATCCCATTTGTCCAACCTTTCTTTGATTTGTTGTGTTTCCGGGTCTCTATTCACTTCTAGGTTTTAAAGGGGGATATTAGACCTGCTATTGAAACTCATGAAATGTTATATCAGGTGATTAAAAAACACAATTTCCTGCCAGAGGTAAGTAATCTTTGAAGTTCTCATTTGTCCATGTACTATACATTGTTAATTTAAAAGTAGAAAATGACATCTTCAAGACATGTATACTTATATAATTTTTTTCTGGTTAATTTATTTGCACAGTATTACATGTTTTTGCCTTCATAGTCTTGCTAAACTTGATTGTATTAAGAGAAGTCTCATTAAGAATAATGCTTGTATCGTTTTAATTTTATATGTGAAAAAATCCCAACTTAGTACTTCCTAACCTTCTCTAACCCACTCCACTGTAGTATTGTCTCTTTCGTTTGTGTGTGCAGTACTGAAGAGCACATTAGCTAAGCACTCTGCCACTAAGTTATCTCCTTGTCTTAATAGTGTCTCATTCTAACTTTTATATATGCCCACCAGGTACGGATATCCTGTCACTTTTATTTTCTGAACTTACAGATGGAAACTATATCCATTAGCTGTACTTTTACTGGTCACACATATTTCCTAGAAATGTGGAGAGCTGTCAGGTCATCTTCTTGGTGACTAAGAATTACTCTTCTTCTTTTTTTTTTTTTTTGGTTTAGTCCTGGGGGTTGAACTCAGGGCCTGGCTCTGCCCCTGAGATTTTGTGCTCAGGGCTAGTACTCTACTACTTGAACTATAGCTCTGCTTCTGGTTTTGTGATGTTTAATTGGAGATCAGAGCCTTAGGGATTTTGGTGTGTGGATGGCTTTGAACTACAATCCTCAGATCTCAGCCTCTTGAGATCTTAGATTACAGGTAATGAGCCACCAGCACCTGGCTACTCTTCCTTTTGGATAAATTAGTAATAAATATTCTTGCTACACTGAAACTATGAGATTTTAATTATTTTTTATATTGAAAAGCGTATTTTTTGGCTTTCCAGAAATGTAGTTAATAATTCCCAAGTGTATGTATGGCCTTGTTCTATCCCTAAGCATTGTACCAACTTAGAATGCGTTTTTCCTAAAGTGATGAAACTTTTCAGAAAGTTTCTACAGGCAGAATAAAATGAGGTTTCAACTAAATACATTTATCACATATTAAATTTTATTTTGGTTTCTATTACATTTTTAATGTGTTTTAATTATTTTTAAGTAGTTACACAAAAGAGTTGCCATTCAACAAAGCAGTTTATGAATAAGGCATCTTGATCAGTGTTATGCCTTTTAACATTCTCACCTATCCCTTCTAACCCATCCCTTTCCTCAGTTAATTTTGTAAGATATGCGTTAAATTTTTTTTTTTTTTGGGTCCGGTTGTGGGGCCTGAACTCTGGGCCTGGACACTGTCCCTCAGCTCATCAGCTCAAGGTTAGCGCTCTACCACTTGAGCCACAGCACCACTTCTGGTTTTTCTCTTTTTGCTTATGTGGTGCTGAGGAATCGAACCCAGGGCCTCATGCGCATGCAAGGCAAGCGCTCTACCACTGAGCCACCTTCCCAGCCTCTGCGTTAAATTTTTGATTGCATTGTTCTCCTCCCCTTCTACTGCTTTCATTTTTCTTTCAAAATAGATGCTACTAAGTAGATTTTGAATTGTCTCATTGCACAGAAGATTTGAGGTTATAAAAGAAAGCATATGCTAATATACATAAACTTCAAAATAGTTGAGAGTAGATTTTAAGTTCTTTCATCACAGAAACATGGTGTGTTCAGTAAAGTATACTAATTAGCTTGATTTGCCATTTCATACGTATGCAAAAATGAAAACATGTTGTATATCACAAATACACATAATAGTTTTGTTAGTAAAAGAAATTTAAAAGGAAATTATAAGGACTTGTTAATAATTAAGTGGGAAAAGGAAAGAAGAAAAAAAAGGAAAACAGTTACATACACAATTGAGATTTATGTGTTGTCATTATTGAACTTCAAAACTTGAGTTTCGCTGATTTTCCTACTTGCCCAAATGCTTATTTGTAAAGTAGACCATTAACTGAGTAAAAAATAGTATCCTTTGCAAGAATGAATTGTGATTTTTAGCAATGAAAATTAGTGTTACATAGAAAATATATCATGATTTATGTTTTAATTTATTTTACTTGTTATGGTATAATATATATTTCCATGTATTCTAGAACTACTTATTTTTAATCATATTTTGGTTTCTGCTTATATGTTGTTTTGCACAGGCATTTACTACAGATTTTAGAGTACATTGGGCTCAACATCCTTTAAGACCAGAATTTGCAGAAAGCACCTACTTCTTATATAAAGTAAGATAATTTACCCCTTTCTGCTTTTTACTTATTGTTCTCTGTTGGCTCTCTTGTTTGTAGCAGAAATTGGTGTTTAATGTTATAATGGCTGGATATATCACTCTTTACATTCATCTAGCTCATTGAATCACTGAAAGATGCAAGAATTGACCTATAAATCTTATACCTTTGCGAAATATTTTTGTAAACCTTTTTATAAAGAGAAATTTTGTATTCTAGAATTTCTAAATTATGTCTCTTCAAGGAGGTAACTTCTGAGACATTACAATTTTAATCTAACTGATAAGGTTTCAGTTCCATTTGTTTATTTTTTTTTAAATTCAAATATGGATCCTATGGTGATATGCATTCCAGTGCCTGATACAGTGCCTGGCATCTAGTTGGTACTCAATAAATATTTGATAAATGAATGGTGTATGGTAATATATAAGCTATATATATGTATACATATATTCTCCTTTTTAATAGGCTACAGGAGATCCTTACTACCTTGAAGTAGGGAAAACACTTATTGAAAATTTAAATAAGTATGCTAGAGTGCCTTGCGGATTTGCTGCCATGAAGGATGTTCGTACTGGAAGTCATGAGGACAGGTAAAAGAATCACTAACATCCCTTTCCTCAGGGTGACTCTGACACAATACAACCTACAATTACTAGTTAGGATTCAGATACATTTAATGTTTAAGAAAGGGTAAGAATGTAAAGCTGGAGTTCATTTGTTTCCTAACTCTCTTGAATTGATAGACTCACTTAAAATGGTTTGAAAAGTTTGTATTTTTCTCATAGTATCTGGCACATAGTAGGTGCTCAAGTAGACTAATGAATATTGTATACCAGAACCATCATTAGAAATATTAGAAATATATTTCTTTTCTCCTTGGTAATAGTGATTATTATGCAAGCTTGTTAGAACTCATCAAAATGATTATTAAAGATCTAGATTATGATTCCTGTTTATTCAAAATTCTTCAAAAGGAAAAATGTAAGCTTAATAGTACTTACCTATAATCTCAGCAAATTGGATTGTAAAGGTAGGAGGAAATGGTTAGAGGCTAACCTTGAAAATGCATGAAACCTACCTATAAAAACAAAAACAAGGGCCGGGAAGGTGGCTTAGTGGTAGAGCGCTTGCCTTGCATGCATGAGGTCCTGGGTTTAATTCCTCAGCACCACATAAGCAGAAAAAAAAAAGCCGGAAGTGGCGCTGTGGCTCAAGTGGTAGAGCGCTAGCCTTGAGCTGAGGGACAGTGTCTAGGCCCAAAGTTCAGGCCCCACAATCGGACCCTCTTTCCCCCCCCCCCCCCCCCCAAAAAAAACCCCAAAACAACAACAAAAACTAAATCACATGGCATGGCTTAAATCATAGTTCAGATCTCAGTATCTTGCCTCAAAAAAATTCTTAAAACACTATTTGGTTAATATGTATAGTCTTATTCTGCTCCTGATTTCAAAGGCTGAAGACCAGTGGTGGTTCCTGTGTCATTACATACTAGGTAGATAAGGAAAGAATGAAATATTCAAGCTATAAAAAGGAGACTTGGTCAGTGTGATAGTTACAAACAATCTAGTTATTCCAAGATGCCCTATCTGGTTTTTACATTTCTAAATGAACAATGAAACTGTTCATTTGGTTAGCAATGTCCATTCTATAAATATCTACTGAAATTTCTCATGTGCCAACATTATGCAAATGTCTTAGGATTGCAGATATAAAGACATGCCCTTTCTGTCACTGAGTCACTGAAGCCAGGCAGATAAACAGATTTTTAAAACATTGTTTAAGTGCTGGGAAACATGGAATATCATGAGATGCAAGTTGGGGAGTGGTGATAGTCACTGAAACATTCCTAGAGGATTCTGAAAGATGAACAAATTAGAACACAAAAAAATGAAAGCAGTTTCAGACAGAGGACTAAAGCCATGAGAAATACAGCACTCATCACATAAGGAATGTACCTTAGTCTTTCAATCAAGAGTATTTGGATAATCGTTAATTAAATTTGAAGCCCCCTTTTTCTGATGACAGTTCATGAAAAATGAGTAGGTTTCTGAAAGTAGATATACAGACAAAAGCAAGGAAGCAGATACCCTGTGTCTTTGTAACATTTATGGATAGTTTTTTTATGCACTTCAGACATTGTTCTAAAAGCTTTATATTTATTTGATCTTTAAAGTAGCCCCCATTTTAATGATGAAAAACATAAAGTGAAGACAAATTAGAGAATGTGTTCACTGTTATACTGTGAAGTTAAGGTCAAAACTCTAATCAAAGCACATAGGCTTTTAACAACTTTGTAATATTGGTGGTCCACTCGAACAATAATTAAATGCCTATGATATACCAGGCACTACACTGAGGGTGAGAATGAAAAGATAAATTAGAAATGCCTCTTCCCTTCCATGTCTTTTAGTTAGTAAATAGGATAGTTGTGAAAAAAAAACACCATACAATGTGTCCTACAGTAGAAAAGTGGTAACACGATGAGGAATTACAGAGAATGGTATGGTTTACTCTGTTGAGAGTTCCATGTTTTAGAATCTAATGTCCTACTTTTCTCCCTCCAACCACATAATTCTTTTATTAATAAATGATAATAATAATAATAATTAGAAATTTTATTGCTTCCAGTCTTGGAGCTTGAACTCAAGGCCAGGGTACTCTCCCTTAGCACCCTACCACTTGAGCCTCAGCTCCACTTCTGCCTTTTTTTGGTGGTTAATCAGAGCTCATCATAGACTTTCTTGCCCAGGCTGGCCTTGAACTGAAATGCTCAGATCTCAGCCTTCTGAGTAGCTAGGATTATAGTTATGAGCTACTGGTACTCAGCCACATAATTCTTGTATAACATTGTTTCTAGACTTCTGATTTAGCTTTTACACAAGTCCAGTGACTATAGAATATATCTTACAGTATGTCTATGTGCTGGGACCTAGCTTAATGGTAGGGTGCTTGAATAGCATTTATGAGGCCTTGAGTTTGATACCTAGTATCCCCTCCCCTCCTCCTTCCCTCCAAATACTTTACTTTCCTTCCAAAAAGACATTCAGAATTAAACATGTGCCTGGCACAACAAATACCAACCATCTGGGTTCTGGCAGGGTGTTAATCTTTTCAGCAGCTAATAGGTTTATACTTATCCAGTTAAAGACCACTGCTTCATTAACTCCTTGTTTCTCATGGGGGCATTTTACCTAGCAGATGAATTTGGCTCAAGTATTGGCTGAGAACTACAAGTCTTCATTATACTTTGCTATTAGATTTGCTTTGGGTTTTTTTTAACAGCTTTATTGTGCTCAACTCCCAGTGAGCTTGTGACTGCCCCATTAGTTTCAGATATTTCAGACTGTAGTAAGTAGATATTCTCTACTATACCCTCGAGCAGCTTGCTTTAATTAATTAATTATTATTATTATTATTATCATCATCATCATCATCATCATCATCGGTCATGGGGCCTGAACTCTGGGCCTGGGAGCTGTCCTTCAGCTCTTTAGCTCAAGGAAAGTGCTCTACCACTGGAGCCACAGTAGCACTTCTGGCTTTTTCTGCTTATGTGGTGCTGAGGAATTGAACCCAGGGCCTCATGCATACAAGGCAAGCACTCTACCAGTGAGCCACCTTCCCAGCCTAATTTTTTTTAGTATAAATGTAGAAGAATTTTATATTTCTCCTTGAGAAATTTCATTGTGTTGTATTTATTAAAATTGTATTTTAAAAATTTGTTTCTTGACTGTGAAGAGAGATTGAATATCAATTTACTAATCTGGTCTCTTAAATGAAGTTCCCATTTTCAGTGATCTTCAGCTTGGAAAACGTACATTAAATAATTTTTCATTCAAATTATGGGGAAAATTTTTAGATAAGGTCATGTCCAGTGCTTCATCACATGACACTTGAGATCTTTCAGATATGTTCTATGTTTTGGGTGCTTATTCCCTTACAATCTACTTGCATCATCCTCTAGCTCATGAGCTGGATATCCATGTGTTGAACATACACACACACAAACACAAGAGTTCTCCAACTGAAAACTACTTACGTTTTCTTAATATGTTACTAAAAACAATTTAAGTGATAAGAAAAAAATATAGAAATCTATATTCTTCTCTACCTAACTGGTTAACAGTTCAGCAGTGTTCTAGACATTTTTAAAAAATGTTTATGATTTGCCTTCATTAAATGTTTGTAGTTTTTAAGTAAAAATTAGATCATGAGATTAAATATTCAACTTGCTAGCTTTACCTGATTCACATTTTAATGATCTTTTTTTACCATCTTCTACTCTTCTTTAATGTTTACAAATCATATTGTTTAAGCAGTTCTTAAATTTGCCAAATATCAGTATCTTGTTCATCAGTCTACTATTCTCAACATAACTGCCAGTTTTTCAGAAGCAGTTATGATAAGTATATTGTACGTTGACATGAGATTTTGTGTGTTACAAGATCAACATCCAATGAGTAGAAAAGTTTAAAGTTTTTAAAGTTAAAGTTTAAAGTAAAAGTTACAGATGAGTTTCTATTTCAAAATAAATCAGATGGACAAAGGACAGATTAGTTTTGGTCTCACATATGCTAGGTACTATGCTAAATAACAGACATATTTAGCATATTATGTATTACTATACATATCTTATTTAGTATTTATAGCCATGTTAGGAGTTGATTAATTAGTTCCTATTACAGAAGAGTAAACTGTAGCCACAGTCCAAATGTAGCACCTCATGGCCACACAGTTAGTGAAAGATCTGTTTTCAAAGCCCATGTTCTTTACTACTGTTGTCTACTGCCTTTCCAGCTCATTCTTTATTGACATTCTTGAAATTTGCATTCAATTTGGTAAACATTTATTGAGTGCCTACTATGTGCCAGGAGTTGTGCTTGGCTTGAGGTCTGTTTTTATGCACCTGTCCAATAAGCTACTAGTTACTTAATTGGTGCAAAAACCTGGATACATTGCCTCCTGGCTTTCTGGCTAAGATCAAGCACAAAACCTTGGATGTTTGGGGAGGTTAGAAATCTAAACGCAAATTTAAACTTGATGTTGTTATAACTCCATATACCAGCCAGCTCTTTTCTTGGCACTTTTGTTTAAACTTTTCTTTAAAGTGTAATTATAACATTATAACATTAAATAATTTGTAAAGTCACATACCTTTTATAAGTATATTATAATTATAGTGTTGTACATTTTTCATGTAACTTTATAGATGATTATTGTATAAGCTTTCCAATTTATCACAACTGGCTAATAGTAAATGTCATCAAAGTTGTATGCCTTCATCTGGTTCTATTATTGTTAATTGAAGTTTCTTATAAGGTTCTCACAAGTAAAATTCATCTTGTTTTCATCTCTGCTAATGGTTCTTAATTAACGAAATGGACAACTTGCCCTAGTTGGAGGGCATATCCAAAGATCTTGTCTTCCTTATTGACAAGATTTAATGTACCTTTTTTAGGCAACTCCTTTGTCTTTTTTGTTCTCTTGCAATACCCCTAGGGCCAAGGTTATTTTAACCTGGGTGGGTTGGTACATTCTGGATTTCTGTGGACATCTAAATTGGTGTAGATATGGTTATTGATCTTGACTCTACTAGATGTTTTAAGGTTCTCATACTTGACTGTAACTATTCATTTTAGAATGGATTCTTTCTTCTTGGCTGAAATGTTTAAATATCTTTACCTGTTATTTGCTGATAAAGAAGACATTATTTTTGACATAGAAGATTACATTTTTACAACAGAAGCTCATCTGTTACCTCTTTGGCTCTCTACTACTAATCAAAGCATCTCTAAGAAGAACACAGTGAGTTTTTAAATGCGTTATTGTATTTTTTACTTGCGTATTTATTTTTCCAAACAAAAAGTAATCCATAAGTAGAATTCAATAAATAGATTTATGATAGTAGGAAAATTATATTTCATGTTCTTTTATGCACTCTGTATATCCTCTTGTATCATTAAACATGTCCTTTTAAACAATAATGTTAAGCAAAATAATTATTTATATAAAATTATTTTATATTGTAGACCTCAGAATATACGGAACTGGATGACAGTAATTTTGATTGGACTTGTCCAAATACTCAGATTCTTTTCCCTCATGATCCATTGTATGCTCAACGCATTCGTGAGCCCTTGAAAAATGTGGTGGATAAGAGCTGTCCTAGAGGCATCATCAGAGTGTAAGATGTATTATTTTATATTGGTTAATATCAAGCTTAATTCTCAGCAAATGACAGAAAGCTTAAGGAACGTGTAATAGCAGTCAAGAAGACATTCACTTAGATCAAAGATAACTGAGGTATGTAGTTGTCACTGATAAAAAATTATTAGTGGGTTGGCACAGTTACTCACATGTGAAATCCTGGCTACTCAATAATTCAAAATCAGGAAGATGAGTGGCGCTGTGGCTCAAGTGGTAGAGCGCTCGCTTGAGCTGAAGAGCTGAGAGACAGCACCGAGGCCTAGAGTTCAAGCCCCACGACTGACAAAAAAAAAAAAAAATCAGGAAGATTGTCATTCATGGCTAACCTAGGCAACATGTTATCAATATGTTATTTTAATAAACAAACTAGATGTGGTGGTGCATGCCTGTCTTCCTAACTATGCAAAAGCATAGATAGGAGGTTCACATTCCAGGGGACACTGGCAAAAAAAAAACACATAAGACCCATCCAAAATCAACTAATGCAAAAAGGGCTGGGGGCATGGCTCATGCCTGCATAAGCAAGTGCAATGCCCTAACTTCAAATCCATTTTTTACTCTCCTCTCTCAAATTATTAGGAGTTAAATAGTAAACCTTAAATTGTGGCAGTGTCTTTTGTTATTAGGGAAGTTTTCAATGTTTTGTTTAATGAACCAAGCAATAGTAGTGGATGTCGTATATCTTTTAAATTTCTATAGCTCTTTGTGTGTTTGTCCTTCCTGTGTGTGCTGTCCTGGAACTTGAATTCAAGGCGTGGATGCAATCCCTTGCATTTTTGCTCAAGGCTAGTAGTGCTCCACTTCTAGCTTTGTGGTAGTTAACTGGAGATAAGAGTATCAGACTTTCTTGCCCAGGTTGGCTTCAAACCATTATTCTTACATCTCAGCCTCCAGGCATGAGCCACTTGTGCCTGGCTTTAGCTCATTTTTATCAAATAATTTCATCAAATATTTCTACATGTCTTACATGTGTAAGAATTTTTTCCCTTATTTTCTACAGTTTCTGTAACATGAAAATACAGGTTTTTTTTTTTGCTTTGATTTTTACCTTTGGAGATTCTACTTGTTCTCAGTTGTTAAAAAATTCTTTGATTTAACAAGTTCTTCTAGTGAGTTGCCAAGGTCATTGCAAAGAAGTAACAAGGAAAAAGTTTTCACCTGGGCATATGATGACATATACTGTCATCCCTGCTGCTCAGGAGGTGGAGACATAAGATTGTAATGGAAACCCTATCTCAAAGACAAAATTGATAATGAAACATATGGAAAATTATTTAAAAATGTGAAAGATGGCATAATACAAAAGAATAACAAAGGAGGTCATTATGGTTACAAAATTACATATGCATGCATAGAAATGCAATGAAACTGCTTTGTCCAATTAATACATGTTAATAAAAAACAAAAAAAATTAAAAATATTTGAAAATAAAAAGGACTAGGGTTATGACTTCAATTGCTAGAGTTTGCCTGACATGCACATCTTGGGTTTAATCCTTTGTACAGCAAAATTAATTACTTAAGCAATTAATTTTAAAATGAGCAGCAGTATTCATATTATCAGTATTGCTTGGCTTTTAAGATATTAGTAGAAAAATCTGTGTTTTTGGAGGAAGACAGTAGTAACAAATCTCAGGTGAATCTATTCTGGGCCCTCAAAATCATTGTTTAATGGTACTATTGTTTAATGGTACTACTTTTGGTAGATGATACCCATGCTTTTGTGACTAGAAAATATTGTATGTGAAAGTGATACCATTTAATAATAAGTTATATGTAAAAAATAACTTATTTCAATTTCATTAGTTCCAAACTTAGTAATTTTGCTATTTTGATTAGGCCTAAGTTTTTTTTAAACCAATTTTAAATTTTACCCTTTTAAGTCTTGGCTATAATTACTTTTAGCAGAGAGGAGAGTTTCAGGAGTGGAGCTAAACCCCCTCTGAGAGCCAGAGATTTCATGGCCACTAACCCTGAGCATTTAGAAATCCTGAAGAAGATGGGGGTGAGTTTGATTCATCTGAAAGATGGGAGAGTCCAGTTGGTCCAGCATGCAATCCAAGTAAGACATTGCTATACTAATTAGATTTGATCTCTTCTCTGCCCTTTTTTGTCTCCTTAGCTTTGATAATCAATGGCATTTCAAAAAAAACAAAAACTTCATATAATTCAGAGACTGCATTTTAGCATGTCATACCTTTAAAAGTAATCTTAATTGATTTAAATGAAGTTGAGTTATTTGCTTATATTAATCTGGTCGATTAGGATTCAAATTTAAAATTTCTGTTTCTCAATTCATTACCTTTCCATTATTTTATTTAGATCAAAACTTCAAAAGTTGGTAGGTAGTTTTAATAGTAAATTTCACATTATTTTAGTTCCCAAAGAGCTACTGAATCTATGAATTTTACTCATCATGGAATGAAAATTTTCTTGCATTTGTGTCTGAGAAAGATGATATGCTATTTGTGCAAACTTTTTTATAACTGACTTTTCTGCTTTAAAAATTTTCATAGTAAGATCTTTCAATTATTTATTCTGAGAAAAAGACGTAGTTTTCTAAATTTTAACCTAGAACTATATTGAACCTCAGATTGAACCTTTTCTCCACAGCCTTGCCTTTCCCTCACAATTGTATCTATAGTCTCACCCCATCCATTCTTCATTAAAGAGTATTCTTTTTTATGTTTCCCTTGCCCTTGCTGGTAGTGAAAGTGGCTTCTCTAATGCCTTCACTCTAGCCAATGACATAATTGCTACCATGTCCTTCTTACCCCTTTCTATGCTTTAACTTTCCAATAGATGTTGACTGACCTCTTCAAGCATCTTCCTTAGTTTGCAGGATATACAGCAGAATTGTTCTTTTTTTTGCTTCTATGCTTACTGCTTTATACTTTTATAGTTTTCCTTTCCTGCCAGACATCTCAAAGTAGGATACTACTAGAAAATCAGAATGACATTTTTTTCCTCTATGTACTCTTCTCTGAGAGTCTTTACTGTTTCTACTAAGTCAGCTATATTTTTTAATGTTTTTATTGTAAAAATAGTATACAGAGGGGTTGCAGTTACATGAGTAAGGTAATGAGTATATTTCCTATCGAGCATTGTTACCTTCTTGTTTTTCCCCACCAACCCTTCCCTCTGCACCTCCCCACCTCCCCCTCTCCCCCAAGTTGTAAAATTTGTTTTCAACAAAGTGTCTTGTACATGTCATTATTACAATAGGTCAACCCGTATCCTTGTTTCAGTATTTTGATATTTCCCTTTCCCTCCCCAAATTAGAAAAATGTATATACGAGATGCAGGGCACCGATGTCAAATACAGTGAAAACAGGGTTCAGCTATATTTTTGTTCAGATGACTTCTTAGATGTATGTATATGTGTGGGTATGTTGTGTATATACACATGCATGTATATGTGTATATCTGATTACTAACTTTGACCCTAAATCTAGCTTTAATCTCTGTGTTATATATTTTTGAATCTCAATTTTTTTCTTCTCTGATATTGTACATCAGTAAACCACTGCCATTCTCTGAACCATTATGTATGCTAGTGGTTTCAAGATAGGCTTAAACTTTATCTCTCTCTGACTTCTGACTCCCATCAAGTCCTGCTGTTTTTTCTTGTAAAGTTGTGCTAATCCATCTTCTTTTTTTTTTCTTTGATAGACATTCTTCAGCTTTTCTTCAGTCAGTATTCAATTTCAATGGTATTCTGTAGTCCTCAAATGCACACAAGCCGAATGAATTGTTTCCTTGTCTGTGGTTCCATTCCATTTTCTCACATGAGAATTTTTAACATAGTTAATTTTGCATCTATTTTTCCTCTAGAAGCAAACTTAAAAGACTTGTCTCCTCAGTGTCTATGAAAGTGCTGGTATAGAATATGGACCTAATACAAGTTTTGAGTCAAATTGAATATTCTTGTTAGTTCACAGTTCCAAGGAGGGAAGATGTGTGTCAGATATGAGACTTCTTTTTTCAAAGGAGAAACCAGAGAGAAGCAAAGGAAACATTTGAACATTTGACAAAGATCCATTTCTTAAACTGCATCAAAAGTGGTTTATAAGCTTGGTGTGGTGGTACATGCCTGTCAAGACTTGTTGAGGCTGAGGCAGGAGGATTGTGAGTTCAAGGCCAGCCTGTGCTACATAATGAGATTGAGACTAGCCTAAAGGAGTACTTAAAGAAAAAGAGTGGCTCATAGACTAGTGAATGAGATGTTTAAAATTTTAAAGTAAGTTCTTTTCAGAAAATGTAATTTATAAAAGTAATACTTTGAGGATGTATAGGGTCATATTTTGTAGAGACCTTAGCTAGAAGGATAAATGATGAGAGGAAATCAAATATTTAGGAAATGAAATAAATGAATGTCTTTCACAGGCTGCTAGTTCAATTGATGCTGAAGATGGATTGAGGTTCATGCAAGAGATGATTGAGTTATCAAGTCAGCAGCAGAAGGAACAGCAGCTGCCTCCGAGAGCTGTGCAAATTGTCTCCCACCCATTTTTTGGCAGGGTAGTATTGACTGCTGGACCAGCTCAGTTTGGGCCAGATCTGTCTAAACATAAAGAGGTATGTCCACTTAAGTAGATTTGTTGAAATTAAATGTAAAATAGGAAGTATTATCTTTTTTCCTTTCAATTCAGTAGTTTTCATTTATTTGAAAAAGCAGATGTTAGGGTTATAGCTCAGTGGATGTTAAGGAGGTACAAGATTTAGTTCTCAAAATCACCAAAAACAAACCAACAGACACGTAGTTAAACAAAAACCTATTCAGTCTCTCAGATTTAGATCAAATAAGGCTATATCTTTTAGAATTAGATAGAGTATATAGTTTACTTTTAGAATTTTATTTAAAATGTAGTTTGGTAAGGATGAGTGTCAGTGACAGAGTGCTGACTTAGCAAGTGTAAGATGCTGAGTTCAAGTCTTGTCACTCAAAAACTATAAAATATTATTCAGACTTCTCTAATACCTTTAATTTATCTAGAAATCATCTTTAGCCTTAACTAATATAACCTTTCTTTGATCAAAGATCTAACTCAATAGCTTAGTTTAGCAAGCAAACAACTAAAAGCCAAGGTGTTGTGGCTCAAATGGTTATGTAGAGAGATTCCAGATAGTCCACTGAGCAAATGTTGAAGACTAAGTTAGTGCACCCTTTTTGTTATAATAAAGGCAACAAAGTCCTATGCAGCTGAACAATTCACATGTTTATCTACTAATGATGGCAGGTCTGGGGTGATAGGGCCCCAGTATCTTGACAGACTAAAGCTTTTCAACTCTGTTTCTCCTCGTTTAAACTTTGTTCTGATATATTTTTAAACTATGTAGATTTAGAGGTTGATTTTCCATTTCATTATGTCTCCTGTATTTTAGGCTCTGCTTGCCCTGTATTAGGTACAGAAAACAATAAAGGTCTATCTATCTAGTCTACATGAGGAAGAATGTTAAAATATCTCTGAATAATCAGTTCTCTGGTTAATTTAATTTTCCTAGGAAGAGCTTACTGATTCTTGTGAATTAAATAAATTTTCCCCCCTCTTTCAAAAACTTTTCTGGTTATCATGGTGGTTTAAAAATCCCTCCCTTCTGTTTTTTGTTGTTGTTGTTGTTTGTTGGTTTGTTTGTTTTGGTTGGTCATAGGCCTGAACTCTGGGCCTGGGTGCTGTCCCTTAGCTCTTCAGCCCAAGGCTAGCACTCTACTGCTTGAGCCACAGCACCACTTCTGGCTTTTTCTGCTTATGTGGTGCTGAGGAATTGAACCCAGGACCTCATGCATGCGTTCCCAGCCCCTCCCTTCTGTTTTAAATGTAGGTTATAGTATGCAGCAAATCTGCCTACAGGTTCTAACCTTATTACTGACTAACATTGTATTTTTGAGAAAACTAACCCAAATCTTAGTTTCCCCAAATGTAAAATGGAAGTACTTACAATATTTCTTTCAGAGTGACTATAAAGGTCAGATTAGTTAGAAATTTATGTAAAAATACTTTATAAAATGCCAAGTACAATGAAGTATTCCTTCAATGTTCTGATAAGCAAAATATTTAGAACAAAAATTAGTGCCATGGGCTGGGAAGGTGGCTCAGTGGTAGAGTGATTGCCTTGCATGCATGAGGCCCTGGCTTTGATTCCTCAGCAGCACATAAGCAAAAAAAGCCAGACATGGCTCTGTGGCTTGAGTGGTAGCCTTGAGCTGAAGAGCTGAGGGACAGCGCCCAGGCCCAGAGTTCAGGTCCCATGACCAACCCTTCCCCCCAAAATTTTTGTGCCATGTATAACATAAACTTCATATGTTTTATAAAAGAATGAGTTGTATTTCTCTTGAAATTTTAGATATTGAAGGTTAATGACTGGATTATGATTTGAGAAGACAAAAGTTTTAGGTTGCTTTTTATTTCTGACAGACAAGAGGATTTGTTGCCAGCAGTAAACCATATAATGGTTGTTCAGAGCTTACTAACCCTGAGGCAGTGATGGGGAAAATTGCATTGGTTCAAAGGGGACAGTGCATGTTTGCAGAAAAGGCACGCAACATCCAGAATGCCGGAGCCATTGGTGGTATTGTTATTGGTAAGTAAGTTTCTGTGCCATTGTGTTGATTAGGAGAATATGGGTTTTTGGATTTTTTCCCTTTTAATGTTCTGAAATTTAATGAAAGTATCATGTTATTTTTATTTTGACAACAAAAAAGGGAGATCATTCAGAGATTTAATAATTTCTATATATCTATTATCTTTTTTGAAAGCCTAGTGTGTTTATGTTAATGTCAGTGAAAATATATGCTATAAGACATAAAGATGGTGTAGGAAGGATGAAGGCACCTAGTACTGTGGAAAAGGAAGGTGCACATGAAATCTTAAGATCCTTAGTGTAAAATTGCCCTCTGCTACCCAGTAGGAACCATGGGAAATTCCCAGTCATCTTCAAACATGTAGGCCTTAGAATCAGAGCCTTGAGTACAGTTCATGACTTTGCCACAGAGCCACAGTGTAATCTTGGCCAGCTTTAGTAATTTTTTCTCTTATTCTGAAAATAATCTTTTGTGTTTCTGTAAGATGGTAATATCTTTAAATAGTTGGGAAGTTTAAAGATAATATGTGTAAAATATTTGTATATAATAGTGGACTTGAGTATAAACACTAGTTGCTAGGGAATTTTAATAAAAATTTGGATGTTTTCCCCACAGAAAATACAAAGTATATGCTTTAAATCGTTTTACTCATAAATTCCCACCAGTGGTTTTTTTTTTTTTTTTTTATTGTATCAAGATGCCCACACTATGACTTGAGATGGTAAACACATACTTTTCTGTTTAATTAGTTTGCATTCAGAAAGACCTAGAGGACCCTGGTCACATCTTAATTGTGAATTCTTCTAAATAGTTCTTCTCACAGAGAGAAAATTCAGTTTGCATTTTTTTCTCATAATTAGGATAGAATTTTGAGTTCAGAGTAAGTAAAAAGGTATTTGAAAGGCTGGTGGTAGAGTTAGATGTGATGAGACATACCTGTATTCCAGTTGTGTTGAAGATAGAGACCAGAAAGGTCACAGTTTCAAGCTAGACTGCACTAAAAGTCAGCTAGACCCTCTGTCAGTTGACAAGCTATGTGTAGTGGTGCATTTCAGCTTTGTGACAGGAATAGTTAGCGGGATGAATGTGATCTGGCCAGCCAAAAACATGAAACTGTTGCAAGGTTGCTTAAATAAAAAAGGCTAGGGACATAGCCCAAGCAGAGTTCCTGCCTAGTAAGCATGAGGCTCTGGATTCACACTAAAGGTACCATCAAAAATAAATAAGTAAATAGTTTTTAAAATGCAAGTAAAGGGCTGGTCATGTTTCTCTGTAATACACTCTGGGTTCCATCCTTATCCCCATGGGGAAAAGGGAAGAACATAAAATTTAAGTTAGGTCTTATTTCAGTAAAAAAGACTGAATTTACAATTCCTTTTACTTATTCTGTGTGGGTCTTCCAGAGTTTATTTAATGGATTAATTAGATGATTTAAAGGTCTTCCAGAGTTAATTTAATGGATTAATTAGCTATAGAGAAATGTTAGGAAATTCTATTTAGTAACTAAATCAGCATAGACTAATCCTGTCCCATGCCTGTTGTAAGTAGATGTTTCACTGGAACACAGTCACACTGGTCTGTGTGCATGTCATCATCATTGCTTGGTACTACAGAGGTGAGTCACTGCAGCTATAAACCTCAGGTAGTCACTGTGTCAAATGTGTAGCTGGCTATAAGAAGTGCTTTCTGACTCCTGAATTAACTCATTGTCTTTCCCATTACTTATTTTTCACATTGAATTTAGTATCTTACCATTACTATTATTTTGGACATTTCTTCCTGAATCAGTCTTTTTTGGGGGAGCAGGGGAAAACAGTTCTATCACTTAAATCTAAATCATTAAGTTTTTCTGTTTCTATGCTTTTCTCTAAGCATATGAAATTTTTACAATCATAATTGTAGAATTTTGTGTTCTATGGTTTTCATGTATTATTGTATCTTTCTGTTTTGTGGGTTCTACTGAGTAGTTCATTATAATGTGCTTACAATGGTACGATGTTATGCACAGCTGTACACAATTAAACTGTACACAGTAAACTTCTATGACTAGGCTCTTTTGCTCCTTTTAAGTTATTACCTTAAGGATAAATCCTAGAGTTACTGTGTCTAAAACATGTTAACAGGTAGAAAGTAGTAACAACTGTTAAGTCTTCTTAATGACAGCAGTCTTGATGCTTGCTGTGTTCGTTTTCTGATTAGATGACAATGAGGGGAGCAGCAGTGATACTGCCCCTCTGTTCCAGATGGCAGGCGATGGGAAGGATACAGATGACATCAGGATCCCCATGCTGTTCTTATTCAGCAAAGAAGGAAGCATCATACTGGATGCCATCCGAGAATATGAGGAGGTAGAAGTGCTCCTTTCTGATAAAGCAAAAGATCGAGGTAAGAGTCAAAACTCTGTTTTTCTACAGATGAATGTTAATTTGACTAATTTGATAAGAAGAATGAGTTACAAAAAAAAGTAGGTTTCAGGCTGGGAAGGTGGCTCAGTGGTAGAGTGCTTGCCTTGCATACATGAGGCCCTGGGTTCAATTCCTAAGTACCACATATGCAGAAAAAGCCAGAAGTGGCGCTGTGGCTCAAGTGGTAGAGTGCTAGCCTTTAGCTGAAGAGCTGAGGGACAGTGCCCAGGCCCAGAGTTCAGGCCTGGCAAAAAAAAAAAGTAGGTTTTGCTTGTTTGTTTTGGTTCACTGGTAAAGCAAGTAGCATTTTTGGAAGATGATTTTAAAATAAAATTTCCTTTTGGAATTAATAATAAAACATTTATTTTCTCTGTTGACTGACTTTAAACATGTTTTATATGCAATTTATCATTTTTACTATGATTTTGTCTAGTCTGTAAGAAAACCATTTTAGCCAAGTACTGGTTGCTCACCTCTGTAATTTAGCTAGTGAGAAGGCTGAGATCCAGAGGACCACAGTTTGAAGCCAGCCCTGGCAGAAAAGTCCATGGGTCTCCATTTCCAAAATAATGTCCAGGTGGGCTGGCCTGAGTGGTAGAGTGCCAGCCAAGAAAGAGCCAGTGGAAGATGCTGAGTCCAAACCCTATACTGGCAAGAAAAAAATGAGCCACTTTAGCTTCCAGAAGTGCTCACCATTTCAGTTTCACTGATAGTACATCTTAAATTTGCTTTAATAAGGAATGAGCAGAGATTGCTTAAATGTCATTTTATGCAATATGTTAGCAGTAGGTCTCAGTAGCAAGTGTTAACATGTGACCACGGCCTTGCTGAAAGGCATAGAAATCTTCCCACTAAGATCTTTTTTTGTTTGTTTGTTTTGAGGCTGCTTATGGGACCGGGGCACTGTCTCTGAGCATTTTTGCTCAAGGCTAGCACTCTACCACTTTGGTGCACAGCTCCACTTCCCAATTTTGAATGTTTGATTGGAGACAAGAGTCTCACAGGGATTTTTCTGCCAGGGGTGGCTTTGAAACGTTATCCTCATATCTCAGACTCCTGATTACCTAGAATTATAGGCACCACTGGCACCTAGGGAGATCTATTTTTGTCACACAAGTATTTAGCAGTTATAAGAGTTACAAATATTCCTGAAAAAGAAGATAACATGCCTTAAATTATGAGAGTATATAGTTATCCCTTGGCCAAAGTTTTTATTAGTAATTTGAAATTTACTTAAACCCTAAGTATATATAAAGCAAGGACTTACCAGTATTCTTTTTTTTTTTTTTTTTGGTCAGTCATGGGGCCTGAAGTTTGGGCTTGGGAACTGCCCCTGCGCTGTTCAGCTCAAGGCTAGAGCTCTACCACTTGAGCCACATAGCCACTTCTGGTTTTCTGGTGGTTAATTGGAGATAAGAGTCTCACAGACTTTCCTGCCTGGGCTGGCTTTGAACCATGATCCTCAGATTTTAGCCTCCTGAGTAGCTAGGATTATAGGTGTGAGCCTGTATAGTTTGTATAGTTTTATGCCAAGAGATAGGGGAGAAGTCAAGGCAAGTTAGTTGCCAGACAGGCTGTGGTTTTGCTTGTGATTGTTCTCTTTCTTGTCTGTTTGAGGAACTAGAGAGAGAGCTAGCCTCCTTCCATCCCCTTAAATACATGGAGTTGTATAATTTACATAGGTAGGGTTGTTGTGGCCTATAAGGAGTTTCATAGATATGCAAGAGATGGATTCAGTTCAGTATAACTTTGAAGTGGGACATCTGTTTTTAAAGGCTGATTAATATTCTAATACTAGACTTATCTTTTTCTGTCTTCCTATATTACTTTTATTCTTCTTTGAATTCTTTGAGTTACTAAGAGCAGTAGAGTGAGTCAGATGTATGCATGTAAGGATGTGTAGACGGGAACAGAATACAATACAAAGATTTTCTGATCATCTTAAATTCTTCTGTGTACCCCTGCCCCTACCATCCTTTCTAAATTTGGATCTTCTTTTTACATACATGCATTTAGGTACATCAAACACAGACAGAATAATAATCTTTTTAATGACTTTGCTTTTCCCCCTCATTTTGTGCTACCATTGGAATTTCAGCAGCAATATTAAAAGGTAAAATGATTCCAAGCTACATTATTAATAGTAGTAAGTATCTCGCATTAATAAACCTCAAGTTATATATGCATACGTGTGTTATGTATATGCACACACATACATATATAATTTTGTTTCAGTGAGCACCATGATAATACTTTGTTTAAGTTATTTTCATGCTTAATTAGTTGTCCAATAATAATAATCTGTACTGATCCTGTCATCACAAATTCTGTGAATGTACATTGCTAGGGTAGATGACTTCACTAGCCCATGTCTATGTCACAGTCACTCTAGGACAGTATTGCTTTTCAAGTATTTATTACCTAACATCCTTACTTGAATATGATGTAAAATATTTAAAGTACTGGCTTGTTTAAATAGCTCTAAGTCATAGGATGGAAATACACAGAGGATTAGGACTGTTAAGATTAGGTAGAGAATGTACTTCCTTTATTAGAGAAAGGGTATGATGATTCCTATTGGGGGAAAAGTCCTGGGGAATAGTATTCCATAAGGATCTTAAATAAATGGGCACATTATTTAAATGATATTTTAAAACCTATTTGAATTGCACTCCTGTTACAGACTGATCCTTTGATAAAAGGTTTTAAAAATCACCTTTTTTGTTTAATAGCTCTTTTGAGAACTATACAGCCATATTAGCTAAGCCAATAACACATTATTATTCATATTTATCACTGTACAAAGATCAATAATAGCTTAATGAAGTCACCTACTTCATTCACTTAGGATAATAGCCTAACAAGTTATGGTCTGCAGTAATGATCGTTGATCCATTCCATTCCAACATTGGGTGTGTAACCCTGTAACAGAATCCTCTGATAACCTGGTTAAAGACAAAGCTTCTGAGTCCTGCTCAAAACTGTTGAACAGTCTCTGAAGGCAGAGAATCAGAATCTGAGATTTGAGTTGCATTTCCCAGGTAATGATAATGTAGCTGGTTCCTCATTTGTACTTTGAGAAACTGACCAAAACCTAAAAGACTTTTCTGTCTCCAGCTATGCATCTGGTCATATTTGTGCAGTCAAAGGTTGTGGTTGGTACTATAAAAGTGCACAATTAATACCTCAAAAACTCAAACAATAAAATGTTCTCTAAATTACTCTTTCTAAAATGACCTTATATCAGAAGTAAATATTGTTATTCATAAAGTCACATTATACTGGTTAAGCAGTTCTTTGTACATACAGAAAATAGTCATTTTAAGATCTCACCTTGACTTTCTTACTGTGATGATAAATTATAGAGACTAGTATTCCCAAATCTGAAACCATCCTCTACTTGTTAGCAACAAATATTACATGGTTTCCTCAGAAGTGAAAGCATTAGTAATTTCTCAAGTGGAGATGCTACTTCCTTGGGCCAAACAAGTGACAATTCTGAGTTGTCCACAATCTGTTAAAATTGCCAGTACTGGTGTTTTTGTTTTTTTGTTTTTCTTTTTTGTCGGTTGTGGGGCTTGAACTCTGGGCCTGGGCACTGTCCCTGAGCTCTTCAGCTCAAGGCTAGTGCTCTACCAATTGAGCCACAGCGCCATTTCCAATACTGTGTTTCTTATATGTCTCATCTTTCCAAAATTTCAGTTCAGAAAGATGCTTAATTCCAAACCTGTCCTCACAAAAGACAATGTATTGTCAATATTCTTTGAACACTGAATATACAGATAAATGAGTGAATGATTGTACAATATCTGATCATCAAGTATTTGGATTGGTTCTTTTCCCCTTTTATTAGCAAAATAATTTTTTGGTGTCTTGAGATTTTCTTTGTTCCTTTGTTTTTTGTGTTTTTGATACATACTGTTCCTAAATGTAATATTTCATAGTTAGGAGGATCATAAGATCTCATATACTGGTGAAAACAGGCACCTTAAAAAATTAGAACAGAAACAAAGGAAGAGGCAACAATGCTTGATAAGAAATGTACTCATGGGGCTGGGAAGATGGCTCAGTGGTAGAGCGCTTGCCTTGCATGCCTGAGGCCCTGGGTTCGATTCCTCAGCACCACATAAGCAAAATGAAAAAAGCTGGAAGTGGCGCTGTGGCTCAAGTGGTGTCTAGCCTTGAGCTGAAGAGCTGAGGGACAGCGCCCAGGCCCAGAGTTCAGGCCCCACGACCGGACCCCCCAAAAAAAAAAAAAAAAAAAGAAACTTGCCCATGTAATTGTAACCCCTCGTATGGTATTTTCACAATAAAAAACAAAAACCCTAATTTCCAACCACAAAAAAAAAAAAATTAGAATATGGCAGACCTTAACTCTTTTCTATATTTCCATACTTCTCTACCATTTTTACTTTATCTCTTTTTCAGTAACTGTGTAAAAAACCAACATATTTTCTTCTATGGGTGTCTTTGAAAACTCTTTCCTACCTCTTTCTCTCTCGCCATCTCCTTCCCCCTCTTCCCCTTTCTCTCCCTTCCTCTGTCCCTCTCTCCCTTTCCTCCATCCCTCTCCTTTCTCCTTTTCTCCCTTCCCTTTCTCCTACTCCCTTCCCATCTTTCCTCTCTTCCTCTCTTCCTTCCTCCTCCCTTTTCCCCCTCTCATTTAGTTGACTTTTGGTGGCTTTCCTATAGTGATTGTTGTTGTCTTTTGCTTATACTTGTTACAAGATCAATTAGAGATACAGCAAATTCTTTCACTTAATCTCTCATCTTCCTGAGATAACAAGGCAATGTTAAGTTTGGTGTATAGTCTTTTCTATTTGCCTTTGTGCTTGCTTCATACATTTCAGGATTGGAATTTTTTTTTTTTTTTTTTTTACAGTAATGAGATATAAGTACCATTAGTAACTTCTTAGTGACTTTTTACAGTCAAATCTATATCCCTTTAGCCCAGTAATACAGCAGAACCTATCTTTTAAAAGCTGCATAACATTTATATGTCAACTATAATGTAATTTATCTACTTTACTCTTATGCATTCAAATTATTTCCATATTTTATAGTTTGTTTTATTGTTATATACAGTGGCAGAGGAAAGATTCTGTATGTATCTACATGCATAGTAAATGAAATCAACTAGTGGAAAAGATGCGAGATAATTTAATTTTAATAAATGTTGTAAGTTGCAGTAGTGATTGACATCCTTCGAGCAAGATATGATAGTATGTGTTTCTTCCTCATTTTAGTCAGCATATTTTCCCTTTAGGGTATAATTTTTCATTGAGCATGGTCTTGGTTTAACAGAGATGCATACCTATCTACTAAAGAGTACCAAGATGTGTGATTAGAGTAGACACATAAAGTAAAGTTGAGAGGAGTACCCTGAGAAGAGGAAGTAAGTGATGAGTGACAGATGCAAATGGTGATACAGCATTCAGAAGGTTAGTGATGAGAAGGTCAGAAACAAATTGGTAAGTAAAGAGCTAAGTATGTAAGGGGTTCAGGACCATACAGGAATGAAAGTATTATTGATGGTAGTGGTATTTTTTTAACCAAGAACAAAAGAGAACCATAAAGGAAATTGAATTATCAATTTGCTTTGCCTTTTTAACAATTGTCTTTTCTTCATTGTTTGTAAGACCCTCTAAAGTGCATACTATAAATTATCTACAAAAAATCAATTTCATACATATAAATTTCATGCATGTAAGAGGCAGAGTTAGAGATAATACTTATATTTTCCCAATAATATTTGTGTCTGTTCATTTCTTTCATTTATATTTTTATGTAAACAAATATTGAAATATTAATACATTTAAAGCTCATGAGGGTTTCCTACCATTGTTCAAAAGATCACATTGTTCAGAAGATGCTATTTTTACATAATAGTTTCTTAAATTTTCTTCTGGACTTTTTACCAGTTCCTTTTTTTCCTTTGAGTCACATGAATTTGTTTACTTAATTTTTATTGTAAGGAGTGTACAGAGAGGTTATAGTTACATAAGTCAGGTATTGGGTACATCTCTTTTTGAACAGGGTCACCTTTTCCCTCATTTTCTACTGGAATTTATTTTTATTTTTACAATTTTTTTTTTTCTTGGTTGTGGGGCTTGAACTCTGGGCCTGGGCGATGTTGCTGAACTCTTCAGCTCAAGATGAGCTCTCTACCACTTGAGCCACAGCGCCACTTCCCAGAATTTATTTGTAATGGAAGTGTTAGGAGTCTTGCTTTCTAATAGAGTGGTCAGTCATTTAACCATTTGTAAAGCAAACATCAAATACAGAAACAATATTTTTAAAGTAGAAATGGGATTCAGTTTGGAATGATATGATTGCATATTTGACATCTAAATTAGGTAAAATGTTCAATAGTAAGACTTTCTATTCAAGAATGTACCTAGATATTTAAATCAGGTCTGGTTTTACATTTTTATTTTAGTATTTAGAATTTAGCAATATGAGTCCTGTACCCCATAATGATTTAATTCTGTGTTTTGTAGCTTTTATTTGTTATCAAAAGAATATTTGATTTTATTTTTAGCTAGTCAGCTGCTGAGGAGTTAGTGGTGTTTACAATTATTTTAATTTTTTTAATCAAATTTTTAATTAATTTAACAGTAATTTTTAAAATTACAGTTGCTTTTAATTTTAGCATACAATCACAGTCTGAAAATACAGATGTTTAATGTTTCTTTTCTTGTAATTCTGATTATTGTATTTTCTTGTTCTATTGTATTAACTATAGTAATTCTCAGTAATCTAGCCTACATAAGCTCTAAGCAACCAGCTCCCTGCTTTTTTTGGTTTCCCTATCTCACTAAATTGTACCTCTTTTACAACCCAGAAGGAATAAATATGTGTTAGGACTCCTCAGACATCCCCTCTCTACCCCTCCCCCCAAAATAAAACCTAAGGATATGAATTTCCCTGATCAAACAGGGCTAGTTGATCAAAGTGAGCACATACACACCCCTGCCTATACCTACCTACATGCTCACATTTCCTTTGATTTTTTTTTTTTTTTTTTTTTGCTAAATAGGTCCATTTTCTTTAACAAGCACTACTTATCCTTTAACTTATAGTTTAGGTGTAATTTTCTGAAAGAACCCCTCAAATTTAATTTCTGTCGGCTTTCCTAACACCACATATCTTACCTCTTTCCAAACTTGTCACAGTTTTTCATTTATTTTGTAAATATTACTACTCTCTGGAAATATCTTCCCCACCTGTTGGTGATGCATAAGAGCAGGTATAGTGTATGGGTTTGCACCTATATTTCAGGCACTGTGCACTTTGCTGCATTGAGGCATCTCTAGGTGTGCATTTAGATGCCTACCTGAACACATGGCAGAGAAGAATGTTGCTGTTCAAGTACTTTGCTGTCAGAACCCCAAATAAATGCCTCCAGTGAGTTTACTTATGTTGATTATACAAGGTTTCTTCAACCTCCCAGTAGAGTTTAGAATGATTATGTCTAATAGCTCATAAACAGACACTCAGTAACAGTTTTAGTAATTTCAGTTCTTGTCTTTCTTTTTATTTTCTGAGTTCCTTCTGACAGTACTTTCATTTGATCAATCACATTAATACCTAGGATCATCCAAACTCTTCTCATGCTTTATCCAAACTCTTCTCATGGCTTTACAGAGTGGCAATTTCACTTTTCCAAGAAATACTATTGCAAAATACAGCGATGATCAGTGCTATTTAAACTTGTTTCTATTAATTATATTTGTATGGGCAAGCTTTACTGCATTTAGACATTTAATAAATAGTAGCCATATATTGCAAATTCATATACATTTTCATATTATTGCTTAGTGTTAATCTTAGAATTTACTAGTGCTAATTTACTAATACTAATACTATAACAACCAGTTATTAGTCATTTTCTTCAGTTCAGAACATTTCTGGTTTCGGTATATTTCGCAAAATAAATATACATTATCAGTCAGTCATTAGCAGTTCTGGTGCTCTCTTGCTCTGTACTCAGTAATTATTTTTGTTTTACTAATTTTATTGCAAAACACAGCATTACTGTAATTGTAACATTTTTTGAGAATGAAAGTAGCACAACATTTGTTTCTTTATACAGATCCTGAAATGGATAACGAAGAACAACCATCCTCTGAAAATGATTCTCAGAATCAAAGTGCTGAACAAATTATATCAATTTCTCCAACAGTTGATTTGGTTGATCAAGAGACTCCTGAAGAAAGTTCTTTAAACTCTCCCCCAGAGTCATTATCTCCAGCAGATACTGAGGATGCTGCAGATGTTTCCCCTCCTGAACAGACTTCAAGTCCCACAGCAAACCATGAGACTCCAAGTCTTGATGGTGAATGTACCGATCTAGACAACCAACTTGAAGAACAATCAGAAACTGAGGAAAATTCTAGTCCTGACGTTAGCTGGGATAAGAAGGCCCAGCCCATAGATTCCATATTAGCAGACTGGAATGAAGATATAGAAGCATTTGAAATGATGGAGAAGGATGAGCTATGACTCACTAAAAAATATGGTGGTAGGTATTTTAAAAGAACAGGTAAACTGTAGTTATAGACACCCTAATACAAAGCAAGCTGTTCAGTGGGAACTTTGAGTATGAATGAGCAACCACGTTCTGACTGGGATAGTAGTTATAGGAATCTGGAGCATGCTGACCCAAACTGACCTTGTTTAAATTGTCCCATCAACAGCAGAAACTCACAATTCCCCCCTCAGATGACAGCATTGCATACCCTGTATGTCAGGGAAAGATTTCTGGGCATTCCTGGGAGCCATATTTCTACAGTCTCTGAATAGACAAGAAACAAACTCAGTTCTGAGTGAATTGGGGCATAGGAGTTTATTTAGCTTTCTAATTAAAGGGTTTGGGGTTGGAGTCCCTTTGGGGAAGACACAAGTGAGTATCATGCATTCTGTTATGCTGCCTTTACAAAACACTCTTAAGTGACCTAAGTGGTTGTGAAGCAGATTGCATTGTGGTAGAACCAGTTTCCACTCATCACTTTCCACTGGCTTCATAGAGGACAAATGTTCAGGATAACTTGAGTTTTTTCCTCTCCTAACGCTGTCCTTTTCATTTAAACCAAAGGTAAAGCCAGTGTGCTTTCCTAGAGAGTTTCTCCATAGACTAATCACTGGGACCAGGATAAAAAGTCACATAATAGACTGTGGAAATTTGTTACTTCATATTTTTGATAAATGGAGCAAGGGAGAAACTATAATGTTGCAATACAGATTTCTCATTGGGCCTTCCATAGGGAAAGCCATGACAACTCTGAAATGGAACTTAGCATAATATCCTTGTGGGGTAGTTAGAAATACTTAGCAGTTCAGTTCTCCAAGGGATTACCTTAGCCATTGATTGGCCCTACTCCATCTCATGATAGGTATGTAGGATACCTAATGGCTGTCCTCTAGAACCACGATGAAACTGTGGAAGTGATCTAAAATTCCTGGGTGGCTACTGCTTTCTCCTTTGAAACTGGTTTCTGATGTTTCCGCCTAGGAAGTCTTTTGCATTTTCTGTTGAATCATAGTTTTTAGGTTTTGTTTTAACTAATATTCCTTCTGATATGGACTTGAAAATGAATCTCTGGAGTCCTGTGTGAAACTATTACACAGCAGCAACTATATACAGCCATACAGCTTAAGGAAAAAAATTACTGTTTTTTTTCTTTCTTTTCTCTTTTTCTTTTCTTTTTTCTTCTTTTTTTCTCTTTTTTTTTGATGGCAGTCTGGTGCTGGCTACATTTAAATTTTTAAAAAAATTGCTGGTTATATTGGTAGACAGCCCTGTATTGCAATCATGGCTTTACCCATTTTATTTATTTTTAAAAATTTGATCAGTTCTAAACAAATATCTGACAGGCTTAATTCCTTTCTTTTTACCATGACATTACACGATAACCTTTTCCTAAAACATGGTTTTGAGGTACTGAATAACTTACATATGGAGCTGTTCAAGAACAGCAATGCTGTATTGTAGTTATGTAAATTTGTGTACAGTGTATTAGATCCCAGGTAAACATATTCTCTTATAAGGAGCTAAATACCTGCTTTCAAAGATTCCAGCTAAACATAATTGGATCAGCAAGAATAAGTCTTATGAATAATTCACTTGGGGGGGAGGGTGGAAGAGTAGAATAGCAAGACCTTTATTGACTCTTTAACTAATCTTGACACCAAAATGAGTAACTTTAGTCTCTCTGCATGTAAAATTTGGTGTGCGAAGATAGAACTATAATACATACAGTATACAGAAGGATATACATAGTGCTTTGTTCATCTTAACTGCAAAGCTGCCAAAATAGCTGAAGCTTAATTACTTCACTTGATTTATAGGACTGGGGCTTGGAGAAAAGGAGCAGATGTTCCTCTAAGACTTTGATTACAGAAGCCTTATATACAGTGATTTGATTTTTCATTTGTAGCTCAAAGCCATTTTGTCCAATCTTAACTCCTCTGAGTTTTCAGAAAGGCCTTTTCCCCTCAGTAAGAGCTTGAGAAATGAGGGAGGCTGCAACCCACTAGGAAGAGCCAGCTTCCTGCCACTCTCCCTTCCTTTGGCCTTTAGGGGGCATTGTTGCTCTTCACTGAGATTTAGATGCAATTTGTTTAAATAAATCCTTTTATGAAAAAAGAAAAGGAAAGGAAGAAAAAAGAAAATTTCCAGTTATACTTACTACTCAGAAGGAATGATCTCAATTTTTCCAGTTTAAAAAAATATATGTTGTTTCAAAACACTAATACTATTATTGACTTTGCAATCATTTATTTATTTGTCATACTGCCACAGTAGTTGAGTTCATTTAAAAATTCCAGTTGTATTAGACTTTTAAAAATGTTTTGTTTGTTACATATCTTTCATAGCTATATTATTTACTTGCAGAAGATTCAGGGGGTTCCTGAATTTAGAAACATCTGGTCTACCTCAGTTAAATGTTGACTGCTTTGAAATATAGCTGAAATGATCACCACAGCCATAAAATTGTTTAGCTAGGAGAGATTTATATAATGTTTACAAACCTGGAATCAAGTAAGGATTTTACCTGGAAGTTAAAAGTTAGATATTCTTAGAACAAGTATTTAATTCGGGTATTTTCAACTTTTAAAACTTGTTTACCTAATAAGAATAGCTATAGTTTTTTTTGCATGAAAAGTCCATTGAAATATAATTTTCAATGATTTCCCATCAAGTTTAAGCATGAAAGAATTGTAATTTACTAGATACGTTTGGGATGGGATTTTTTTTTGGTGGTAGGTTTTCTTTTTTTTTTTTTTTTCTTTTTAAACTGTAACTAGCTCCCAAAAAGAATATAATTGTTTCAGAACAAAATTTTTTTGAAATTTCACTTTTCCTTTTTTCTACAGTATTAGAAATTTTAAAATGAAAAATTGTGCACTTTCTGATTTTAATTTCTCAAGAATATTTTATTTTCAATACAACCCATTTATAGCAAAGCCAGCATTTGTTCTCTCAACAAACCCCATGCCAAATTTATCATAAAGAAAGCTCAGCATAAGTAATTCAAATAGTGCTTATAATTTTAGAGGGGTTGGGTAGAACTTAGTAAATATTCCAACCGGTCGTTTTATGCACAAGGCTTCAGTCAGAACATAGAAAAAAAAACATTCTGTGAATGAAACATTGTATGTTCAGATTTTATAAAAGACATTTTTAAAAGCCCAATTTACAGCCGTATATTTTCTTATGATGTAATTTATGAAAAAGATGTCTGTACTAACAGGTGCTGTAACACTACTGTTGTTGGGTTTTATCGTTTGGTGATAAATGTATACAATATTTCTAATGGAAACTATGTACTGTGATGTAAAAGTCTGGGCAAAATGTATATAAATCCTTGTATATAATTGTGTATTTGATTATAATTACTGATTGTAAAGATTTAATAAAACATGTAAATATTGTGTTCTAGTTTTTGCATTTTTATAATCATTGTACTTCGATATTCATGACTCTTGTTTTCCTTTCCTTTTCACTTCCAAATAGGGGTTTGAGGGATGTGTGACTGCAGAGAGCAATGCACACTGAACAGTTCCACAACTCAGGTAGTGTTGCAGGGCCTCAGACTAGGATTGGAGAAAAATAATAATTCTCAACGTTGGCATTGGTAATGTGCTTATGTTTTGCTACTCCTAGAAATGCCTGACTTTACAACAGTTAGTGTGACATCCTCTTCCTATTGTCCTATTACATAACTGAAAGCATGACAAAGGCCTGTTTCCACTCTTTAAGTCTCCACTCCCTCGCTCTGTGCTTATTAGTCCACTTCCACTTTGTCCACTGAGTGGAATAATTCTCAGGACCTCCAGTCTATTGGTTCACTGGTTCCTTAGAGATCTATTACTGTGCCTGACCTCATTGCCCCTTCACCTTGTATTAGTTTCTTTTCCTCTGCTAACGTGGAAACACCTTAAACACTATTAAATCCCCCTGCACCTAAGCTTGAGGAGCTGTTGGAACTGAGTGAAATCATTCCCCACTGCTGACTAACTTCAATTTTAAATCATGACTGGAAATCTCAAGTGAGATCTAATGCTTTCCCAATTCTAGCCACATTTCTTTTATTTTTGTACTCTGGAACAATACTTTCATCCTTTCAAAACTCCCCCAGTCCTCCCCTGTCAAGCACTTGCTGACTTCACCATTGAGAAAATAGAGATGAAAAGGACTCAGCTTGTACCAACCCTCACCTGTGGAATCACACAACCTCTCCTGTGAATCCTAGGACTTTTTCTATCCTAATGTTGGAGAGCTGGAACCCTAGACTTGAACCAGATGTACATGAAAATGAAAGAACCAGACTGCTAGACTCCATTTGACCACAAGGTAAAGGAATCCCTGTCCATTCTCTTATATCCTTTACTGTAGCACCCTGCAACCAGAGGGAACAGATTGCCTGTAAGCTTTAGTACTGGTATAATAGGAATACTGGGAATCCCGCACAAGGAAGCCTCAGCCAAACAGTCCCAGTCTTTACAGGAAAATGGGAAAAAACATTGAGTGAAAGCCTGTATATCAAGCTCTTGTTTTTGTTTTCTCTCTACTGCTGGTGGAAATGCCAAAACACACATACATACACGTGCGTGTGCACACACACCCACACATGGGTCAGTTTTTGTAGATACTGGTTCAGCAGTACACATCAAAGCCTCTTATTTCCTTTTATCTCAATTCATCTGTTACTGGGAACCTGAGGAGATAGAGGAGAAAAACCACAGACTTCCATCCAAATACAGTGAAAGAGTGAAATGTATACATTTAAATGTCTTTTTTTTTTTTTTTTGGTTGGTTGTGGAGCTTGAACTCTGCCTGAGTGCTGTCCCTCAGCTCTTCAGCTCTAGGGTCATGGTTTAAGAGCAGTATGACACACCAATTAAAAGTAACGTTGCACTTATTAAAATATAAAGTACTATACCACATCTTCTTGATCCATTCATCTACTGAGGGGCATCTGGGTTGGTTCCATAGCTTAGCTATGGTAAATAATGCTGCAATAAACATAGTTGTGCTGGTAGCTTTAGTATGGTCTTGTTTGTGATCTTTTGGGTAAATGCCCAAAAGTGGGATTGCTGGGTCATAGGGGAGTTCTATGTGGAGTCTTTTGAGGAACCTCCATACTGCTTTCCAAAGTGGTTGAACAAGTTTACATTCCCACCAACAATGAAGTAAGGTTCCTTTCTGTCCACATCCCCTCCATCTGTCGCTTAATTAGAGTTCTTGATTATAGCCATTCTAACTGGGGTGAGGTGGTATCTCAATGTTGTTTTGATTTGCATTTCTTTTATGGCTAAGGAGGTTGAGCATTTCTTCATTTGTCTATTGGCCATCCTTCTTTCCTCTTCAGAGAACTTTCTCCTTAAGTCTTTAGCCCACTTATTTATTGGGCAATTGTTTCTTTGAAGATTTGTTGTTGGGGGGATTTAATTTTTTAAGTCCCAGGTATATTTTAGATATGAGACCCTTGTCCATTGTATGTCTAGTGAAGATCTTCTCCCAATCTGTGGGCTTTTTATTGATCTTTCAGGCTATGTCTTTTGCCATGCAGAAGCTCTGCAATTTCATGCAATCCCATTTGTCCAACCTTTCTTTGATTTGTTGTGTTTCTGGGTCTCTATTAAGAAAATTAATGGAATTCTGTGCCTCCATCAGAAAGAATGACATTGCCCCATTTGTTAGGAAATGGAAAGACTTGGAAAAAATTGTATTAAGTGAAGTAAGCCAGGCCCAAAGAAACATAGGTCCCATGGTTTCCCTTATTTGCAATAACTAGTATATGTCTGAGTCAAGCAGAAAAGGTCAGATAAGTTGATGTTAGGGGAATGAACCCCAAGATAAGTATTCAAATGGTTTTTTTTGTTCTTTTGTTTTCCTTTAATGCAATTGCTTCTAACATATTTATAAGATGATTTCCTTTGTATGTCCCTCCCCCACGGTATAACCCCTGCTTTCACTGTATTTGATGTTGGTATAATTTGTGGAGAGGAAGGGAAAAACAAATCCCTTAAATAGGGATACAGGTGGATCCATTGCAACAATGAGATGTACAAGTGGTTACGTCAAAAAAAATGAACTTTACAACTTTGGTGGGGGGTAGGGTGAGGATCAGGTGGGGGGAGGGGAGGAGTATGGGAAGGGATGGGAAGGGGAAACAAAGAGGAGGCAACAATGCTTGATAAGAAATGTACTCATTATCTTGCCCATGTAATTGTAACTCCTCTGTACGGTATTCTCACAATAAAAAATATATATATATAAAGTGCTTTAATATTCAAGAATGTGTTCTTCAATGCCATTTAATTCAGCAATCATTTCTTGACGTTCCTATTTTCTAGGCACCTAACTAGAATTGAATCATGGGAGTGATGCTCCAAATAGTTCCAGATTTTGTTCTCCTGGGATTTATTGTCAAATCCAGAAGGCAAGTGTTGAACAAGAATTGAAGACTTTGGAAGTGAAGGCATATGACCTGTAGCTCTAGCCCAGTGAGGGAGAAGCCAGAGCAGAGCTGTTGTAGGTGCTCAGGCTGTGGGTGCCTTAGCTTCAAAGATTTAAGAGCTTATGGTCTGTACAGGTAATGAGAAATCATTGGTGGGTTTTGAGCAAGTCAGTGGGCAGAGCTGTTGTAGGTGCTCAGGCTTGTGGGTGCCTTAGCTTCAAAGATTTAAGAGCTTATGGTCTGTAAGGGTAATGAGAAATCACTGGTGGGTTTTGAGCAAGTCAGTGGGCTAAATGACAAATCCAGAGTTGTATATAAAGAATGGTAAGTTTATGCATGTGTGTACGTATAAACACACATGACATTTGTTCCTTTAGCAAAGGTTTTCTGAGTACTTCCTATGCGCCAGGCACATATGTGAGGATATAACTGGAAAAACAACGCAAAACTTAAAAAATAAATGGGTCATTTATTTTTAATATCACTATCTTATTTATATATTATTTATTATAAGTAATAAATATTGGTCGGGCGCCGGTGGCTAACACCTGTAATCCTAGCTACTCAACAGGCTGAGATTTGAGGATCGTGGTTTAAACCCAGCCCGGGCAGGAAAGTCCGTGAGACTCTTATCTCCAATAAGCCACTAGAAAACGAGGTGGCACTGTGGCTCAAGTGGTAGAGCGCTTGCCTTGAGCTGAAGAGCTGAGGGACAGCTCCCAAGCCCAGAGTTCAAGCCCCATGATTAAAAAAAAAAGTAATACTAATATTTTTAAACAAATTTAAGAAAAACTGCAAGGGTATATATACCCTTTACATGCTGATTAAAGTCAGCATGGAGTGAGTGAGGTTCTATTTTAAGTCTCAGAAAATAACTAGAAAATCAATGGTGGTTATCTCTGAATGATAGGTAATTGTTTTCCTTATTTATATATAGTACAATCCCTAATCCACAGTACTCCTAATGAATGTCTGAAATAGGCAGTACTAAACTATAATGTTTTCTGCCTATGCATAAATACCTTATGATAAAGTTCAGTTTCCAAATAACATGCAGTGAGAGATTAACAATAGTAATTAATAAAGAATGAGACCAATATACTCTTGACAGTCATGTGAACGTGGTTTCTCAAACTATTGAGCTATGTGCACCCTGTGATGACATGCAATGTAATGGTACCTTACCAAGGAGATGAAGTGAGGTGAATGGACATAGACTGTGACACATGTTAGTGTGGGGTAACCTGAACACAGGCACTGTGGCTACCAAGTGACAAACAGGTGGATAGTGTATACAGAATAGACACACTGGACAAAGGGAGTCAGCCTGGGGGAGAAGGCGCATGACACTGAGATCTCATCACCTGGCTTAGAGTGGAGCACTGAAAACTTAGGACTTACTTATTTCTGGTTTTTGTTTTTTTTTTCATGTACTCATTTCAAACAGTGGTGGACAATAGGTTAGTTAAAACTGTAGAAAGCTGGGTGCTTGTAATCCTATCTACTCGGGAGGCTGAGCTCTGAAGATCATGTCTCAAAGCCAGCCTGAGCAGGAAAGTCTGTGAGACTCATAAATTAGCCACCTAAAAACCAGAAGTGGAGCTGTGGCTCAAAGTGGTAGAGTGCTAGTAGAGCAAAAAAGGTTCAGGTACAGCATTTGGGCCCTGAGTTCAAGTCCCATGACAGAAAAAAAAGAAAAGAAAATTGGACAAGGAGAAGCTAGTCTATTTGTACATTTTCATAATTTCCAAAAATAAACATGAGATAAAAAGTAAAAATAGTCTAGTTAGAGAATAAAAGAAATGTATCATACCAGATCACTTCTATTTGGCCCTTCTGCACATTTCATTTATTTTCACAGGCATTGTGCATCAGCGACATCTAAGATTCAGAATTGTGGGAGGAGATGAAGTGTATTGGGAAAATGTGTAAATATGGAAAAGAGGATTAGTAGGATCTCTGGCATCA